ATTTTTCTAATGTTACCGTGGATACAGTACATAACTTCTGCATGAAAATTTATGGGTAAAACTGGATTCTGTAATTGGAAATAATTCAAGCTTTGACTATAGTTGGTGATATAATAAAAGATTTATAAATAGTTACCAGTGGTGGGATTCAAATATGTGAACAACCGGTTCTCTGTGTGGATGCCGCTTCCGGAAGTCCATTCTGGGCCTGGACAACAAAAAATTAGCTACCAGTTCTGCCATACTGGTACGAACAAGCTGAATCCCACCACTGATAGTTACCCATTACGTAGTCTTGGATGCTACATATATTTCAGTGGTTTTTTTTTTTAAATTCTCCGTCTCTTTCTAGTTTTCAAATAATTTTGTCCCAGTTGCTTTGCAAATACATTGATGAAGACTTAGGTGAAACCCTTATAATCTACTTTCCCCAAATGTCCTCTGTTGCTGAATAATATCAATAGAAGCTAGGAATCTCAGTAGTTCTTATTTATTACTGTATTTACCCAAATGAAGATGAACTTAAGTCAAGGACATTCCCTCAGACTTTTCAATGTCTGTTTGCCCTTATTTTTCCTTTCAGTATTGTTTGTTTTTTATATTCCTCTGGCCTTCATTTACATCCTTGCTAAATGTTGCTATCTCCAGGCCTTTAGGGAATAAATCCTACAGTTCTAAAACCAGGTTCCTGGTTTATTTCCTTGTAAATGTGATAGCTTTTAAAGAAACTTAAGCATAGTTTTAATTGCTCTGTGAGTTAGTGCATGGTCTGGTTGTTTCCTTATTTAGTCGTTCGTTCAAATAATTATCTATTTACCCCATTCCCTACACAGACATTTTTATCTCAGAGCATTGTTTGAAATGTATTGTTGTTGTATTGGTTGTTTTGGTTATATTGCTTTAATATATTACACTGATTGTTTGGATGGTATTATTTGTTTGTGGGTTCTGAGCTAATTTTATTGAATTGATTTTGTGTTGTGTTTTCATAAAGATGCATAATATATATTAAGAGTGAGCTGATTAGTTTTGATCAGAACCTTCTGGCATCTTTCCCCTTGCCCAATTTTTCCTTTTTCTGGAATTAATTCATAGACCATTTGTATCTAGCAGGTAATTCTCAGTATAGTTTTTTTAGCTATCTTGATATTTTTTTTCCATTCAAAGGGAGCTCACTTTATCCTTGCAGCTTGCAAGGTCTTCATAGTCAAAGTAATTTCCCAGCTTCTCCATGGTATCAAAATCTGAATTTTTAGAAAGTTTGATATCCTTTAAATTGTCTACTCTACGTTTATTAAAGTTATCATTGAAGTTGCAAGATACAAGTGAAGTTGTCGTCATTCAACAATTGCCTTATTTAACGACCATTCATAATTACAGCAATGATTAAAAAGTAACTTTACAACCAATTCGTGCATTTATAACTTTTGCAAGTCTGTAAAGCAAGGAAAAGCTGAAGTAAGATCATAAAAGCAGTTGTAGTTTTTTCACTTAGTGACTACTTCTTTAACAACTGAATTGCTGGTTCTAATTATAGTTGCTGAATTAGGAGTACCTGTAGAAGGTACATTAAGAAGGCTGCTTTATATTTAGAGATGGGCTTGATCCCCGTGAATGCTACATAGAAGATATTCAATTATTTATTTATTTATTTTTTAACTAAAGTTAACTTTCTTCCAAATGAATATAGCTCTACTGGTTCTTAGAGATCATTTTAAGTCAACCTGACTAAAAAGTGTTACTGACAAACTTTCTTTCTGTAGAACTCTTGTTGGAGAACCCATGCCCATTATACTAGAAGTAGTTTTAAATAATTAATCTAGGACACATATCTTCAAATCAGTCTAACTCTTATAGCTCATGGAATATGATTTTAATCACTTTTTTTCATTTTTCCTATATGATTATGTATATATCTCCCTACTACACTCTACACAGAATAAAGTAGCAAGACGTTAATTGCTATGAATTGCTTATATATAAAGTTCAAAGTTGAAAGCAACTTTGGTTGACATTCTTGTAATCTTATAATCTTTTCTGAAAAGCTCCAAGAGACTTGGTCTTTGTTTTTGTTTTCCCAATCCTGATTGTTGCTAGAGAAATCTGGCAGATGCATCCAAAACTGTATAATAATACCTCTTATCTAGTATTCTAGCCAAATGCCTTAAAAATTATCACTGGTCTGAAATATTTGCTGAACAAAGACTGCATAGCTATTTTGCTTATCAGTTTTGCTTATAATATAACAGAATAACAGAGTTGAAAGAATAGAATAGAGCTGGAAGGGACCTTGGAGGTCTTCTAGTCCAGCCCTCTGCTCAAGCAGGAGAATCTATACTATCTGAGATAGGTGAATGTCTAGTCTCTTCTTAAAAATCTCCAGTGATGGAGTGCCCATGATTTCTGAGGGTAAGCTGTTCCACACTGGTTGATTGTCCCCACTGTCAGGAGGTTTCTCCTTAATTCCAGGTTGCTTCTCTCTTTGATCAGTTTCCAACCATTGTTTCTCATCCTTCTCTCTGGTGCTATGGTGAACAACCTGCCCCCCTCTGCTTTGTGGCAGCCCCTCAGATACTGGAACACGGCTATCATGTCTCCCCTATTTCTTCTAGCCAAACCCAAGTCCTGTAGCTGTTCTTCGTATGTTTTAGTCTCCAGGCCTTTGATCATCTTAGTTGTTCTTCTCTGAACTTTTTCCAAATCCTCAACATCTTTTTAATAATAATAATAATAATAAAATTGGAAGGGACCTTGGAGGTCATCTGGTCCAACCCCCTGCTCAGGCACGGAAACCCTATACCATTTCAGACAAATGACTGTCCAGTCTCTTCTTAAAAACCTCTAGTGTTGGAGCATTCACCACTTCTGGAGGCAGGTTGTTCCACTGGTTAATTGTTCTAACTGTCAGGAAGTTTCTCCTTAGTTCTAGATTGCTTCTCTCCTTGATTAGTTCCTTCTTGTCCTGCCTTCAGGCACCTTAGAAAATAGCTTCACTCCCTCTTCTTTGTGGCAGCCCCTGAGATACTGGAATACTGCTATCATGTCCCCCGTCATCCTTCTCTTCATTAAACTAGACATACCCAATTCCAGCAGCCATTCCTTATATGCTTTAGCCTCCATATTTTTGTGATATGGTGACCAAAATTGGCTGCAATATTCCAGGTGAGGTTTTACTAGAAATTTACTAGAACTTACTAGAAACCTTGGAGGTCTTCTACTCCAATCCCTTGATCAAGCAGAAAGGCCTATAACATTTCAGACAAATAGCTGTCCAAACTCTTCTTAAAAACCTCCCGTGTTGAAGCACCCACAACATCTGAAGGCGAAACATTCCAGTGATTAAGTGTTCTAACTCTCAGGAAATTTCTCCTTGGTTCTATTTTGGTTTTCTTCTTGATTGGTTTCTCAGGATATTTCAGAATGGCTTTTGTTAATTATACAATTTTCTTTGGGGTTTTATTTATACCTTTTCCAAGCTACTGAGTAAGATGTAATTGTGTTGTTTTATTTTTATGAATTAGATTAAGCTAAGAGATGCATAGTAGTCCAATATAACCAGTGACTGATTGGCTATAGAAAGCAAGCCTAAGTTCAACACTCTTCATTCAAAGTACCAAAATATGTTAGACTCCCATGATTTATTTAGCATATAATTGAGTTTCTCCACACAGAGGCTATATTTCATGATATTATTTGATATTAATATCTGTTGTTACTGGCGGAATATCATTTAGTGGTCACATTTATTATATTTTATCCAGTTTTATTGATGTTTCTATCAAAGAAACTTCCAATTTTACTCCAAACTAACAATCTATCTTAGGCACTGTATGAGTTGCACTCTTTATCTGCAAACCAGAGTTGTAAGTGGCCATTAATACTTAAATATAAGTCTTGCTTTTAGTGGTAATACTAAAAAAAAATATTCATGTTGATGCATCTTGTAAAGAAATGTGTGTCTTTTTTTTAGTACTTAGGTGTTTTGTGGGAAAGGAGGTGTTATGCCTTTTTTCAAATAATTTTAGAAACTAGCTAAATTTTCTTGAAGAGTTTGTTCAGTTGAGTGAATAATAACTATGACAACAAATGCCCTCTTCTAAAAATCATTGCTGTTACAACACATTTATTTGATTAGCATATGAATGGAAACTCTTGAAAGTAAATGATTAAGATGAGTATAAAAAAGTCAAGGACTAGTTTCTCTGCCTTGTGACTGCCCACAGTTGAATTTTGAAAGAGAGTTGTTGTACTAGAAGTTAATATATATATAACTCAGGGTTGAATTGGTTGAATTCTTGGTGCTTTCTGAGCTTGGTTGTTTGTTTACAGATGTTTCATTATCCAACCAGGTAACATCAGTGCCTTCATCAGAGAGTTGTTGATTATTCTTTACTTCTTAACTAATTATGTTCATTACATGGATTTCAAAGTAGGGCAAAAGTATAGTTCTATATTGTCATACAAGTTAGATTTTATGAAACCGTTTCCAATAAATACCTTTTTAAAAAAATCACACAATATAATTAGTTTATCTCTAATTATCAGGATCCCTGGGGTCCCTGTATTCTTTCAATTTCTTTTCCGCAATATATTCTTGCTACGCTATTATGTGTATTCTTGCAGATCTACCTTAGCCAAGAAAAGAAATTGCATGCACACAAACACACAAAACAAGCAAAACAAGTTAGAAGAGGGGATAAGTCAGCGGTGCCTTAGTAGGAAGCAACATTCTGCCGATATGGGCTAATTTCTGAAGCTAAGCAGAATCAGAATTGGTTGGTATTTGGATCAGAAATTTACTGGAGATTTTATGGCTTTTGGTTAGATTGAGAAGCAAAAAAAAAATCTCACAAAACAGTAGAGGAAATCCATTTTTATAACATTTCTTAGGGGGGGTTATGCATGTATCAGAAAATATACTTGATTCCATTTTTATTTTGGCTCCATTTTATGTTAAAGCTCAATATTCTAACTAACACCGAGCTGCTTAATATTTTCAGATGCAGATGGAAACTTGTGTAAAAATTACCAGCTCCTGTCAGTAATTTTAACCATGCATCGACTTATCATCTCTTCCTCTGAAATACTGCGAAAACTAATTGATCTATATCCTTTTATATTTTTTTCAATTAATACCTTAATTGGTGATATAAAGCTGTGACAACACAATGATTTGAAAATAATATTCCAACAAAATATTTTTCTTTAGATTAGAAATAGTACGTGTGTAAAAATCTCTATATTATTTTTATATATTTAATTAACTAAATCAGATCTCTTAAATATTCTTGATCTTATTTCAATCTATTATTTTGAAAAATCTGAGCTTCAGTTAGTAATAACAGTAATGGCTGTATAGACTAAATTTTGATACTATTAAAATGTTTTGGCTGTTGTATGTCTGTGTTTCTATTTCTCTCCTCTCCCCGACCTTGTATTACTTGGAAATGTATTCTTAAAGTCTTCTCTGAGCAGGTTTTGTCTGTCTCAAAATGAAAAGTTACTATTCCTCTTACATTTGCCAAACTATTTTGCACTGTTTTCAGTTTCTGCTTATATTAATTTGCCCCACAGAATTTGTTGTGAATTTTATTCACAACCTCTGTTTAATTTCAATTTTCTTATATTTGATTGGCTTATTCCCTCTTGTAGAGTTTTAATATATCAAGCAGCTAGTCCTTTGTAATATTTTTGAAATTAAACTACAGGTTAAATACAAACTATTTTTCCAATCAAAATAAAAACATATTTAGTTACAAAAAATGAATGTTGGGTTAGGTAGGAACACATAACAAGGGATCTCTATTTATGAAAATACATAAGAAAAAAACTGACCTTCACAGCTGATTAGAAATAGAGAACTGATTATTCTGGTTTTTTTTTCCCTAGCAGGTATATTGAGAACCCTTGGTGCAAGCTAACATTACATGTACCTGATAAGATTCAGTCTGTATAGCTGTAGAAACACTGACACTGTTTTCTAAAACTGTAATTAGGTACTTTTTATTTCTGGACTTTAATCACCTGGTGTAGGGCTCTTGTAAGCTTTTCCATTTTTCCTATATGATTCTGTATGTGGATCTTATTGTTTTTCAATTATAAAGAGAATTAGTCCTGCAAAAAAATAAGTATATAGTTGGAAAAAACCTTACTTATCTGGAGGGGCATCCCCACTTCAAATAAACATGCAAAAGTTATCTAAGTTAGAGGAATAGTCGTGTTTATCTAACCAGAAATTGGCACTTGGAGTTCATGTGATCATCAGAACCATTTTGTAGCCTTCCCTGATTGTATCATTTAATTTGGTGGCAGAATTGCCGAATTTTAGCAAATTTGAGGCCTTTTTCAGATTTTCAGTTAGGTTTGAAAATGGAAGTTTACCTGTGGGTATTCTTCCTCTCTCATCTAACCTTTTCAAGCTAATACCCCTGGCCAGAAAAAAGAATGAAAATGTTTCTTTTGGTGATGTCTCAGCATAATAAGAAAACGTCTTATAGCTCTTCAGACACTTAGAAGGCCGAGTTGCTGTCCCAGTGGCATATATACGTATGGTTATTCCCCCCCACCCAAATATCTGATTTTTAATTGGTTTTTCTTTTCTGTTTAATAGTCCAAATTGCTTTGTATAATTTTCTTCTAGATCTCAGGAATAGGCATACAAGGGACTAAAGTTCTGAAAGAATGTACTTAATTTTTGTAATAATATCTTGGTGGGAATGATGCAACATGCATAGCTTGCATAATGATATAATGATGCAAATGATATAAATCTCTGCAAATTATATACTTCCACATTTGACAGATATTTGTGAATAACCCCCTAACATAAAACATTTTCTGTTCTAATTAAAATTGTATATTTTCATTATTAATATGGCATTTAATTTCTTATTTTTCTTGTGTTTTAACATATTTTCCTTAGCATATACCTACATATATGGGTGCCTTGGAAAATAATTCTTTGCTCTGCTGTAAGATATGTTATCTTGTGAGGTGAGAACACATTTTTTATAAGTTTATTGGATCTCAGTGCAATAGCTTTTGCATGTAATGGACTAGATTTCTGTGGCGATTCATATAATTTGCATACTACAGTCATTTTGCAAATCATCAATCAAGTAATTTATATCATTTTATTTGAGCTTGCAAGTTTGTGTATTGACATTTTTGTGCAAATGAGCAAAACTGCGACAATGACATACTTACATATTTAACTGACATATAATTTTGCTATTGTGAATTCTTTTTGTGAATATCCCAGGGCCATCTTTCTTTTGTTTGTTTGTTTATTTCTGCACATATAGCTAGATATGCTCATAGTCTTGGCATATTATGCTTTAGATTGTCACAAATATAATTTTAAGCATACGTAACTGGTACTGGGAATGAGCCCCACTAAAATTGGTAGAGACAAATTTTGAGAAAACCTCCATAAGATAATACTGTAAGAAATGGAGAGTGGTCATGTTGTAACCTTAACCTAATATCTAACCATATTTTAGGTGCATGATTTGAGTTGTTAATTCTTTTGAAATGCTGATCACAATATTTTTAATTAAATATATGTACAAAGAGAAAATTGCTCAGGAAGTGCAATTCAGTCATATATTTAACTTCAAAAGGGAATATTTCCCAGAAGTAGATGTAGAACTCAAAAGTCTGAAGCAACCACAAATTAAGAAGGAATTTGAGGAAACACTGCTAAAACTGAAAATGCCAGATATTACATTGTGACTAACAAATAAATGATAATATATGCAAGGAAAAGTGAACAGAAACTTAAGATGCAGTTTTCTTTAGTCATAAGTAGAAATCAAATCTATTTATTTTTTGCCCAGGTATCTTCAGGGAGAGGCCAGAGTAACATTTTATATCTACATGACAAAGAGCCTCTATCCCTTGTGAAGATGTGGATTCCAAGGAGGTCTTCAAACTTGGCCCTTTTATGACTGATGGACTGGCTGAGGAATTCTGGGAGTTGAAGTCCATGAGTCATAAAAGGGCCGAGTTTGAAGACCCCTGGCATAGGGTGATGTTTAGTGGGAATGTTTGAGATCTGTCAGTTGACTATAAAACTGCATTCATGAGTGTATTACCTATTTTGCTATTTGGAAGAAATGACATCAAGGTTCTGAAGAAAATCTGGAATACATATACATAAAGAGCTGCAATTTGCAATTATATATAGTATATAATTGCAAGTACCAAGTTTCTTTCTTTTTTGTACACAGGTATTGGATAAGAGAATTCTGGGTCATGTTTAAAACAGATACTAGTCTTACAAATACTATGGAAGAATTTCAGGAATTGGTGAAAACTAATGGTGAGGAGTTACACTGCCGCCTAATTGACACATCTCAAATGTGAGTGTCAATGCCTTAGTATAGAATTCCCAATAAATAATTTATATGGCCATTGGTGTGTGTGTGTGTGTGAGAGAGAGAGAGGGGGGGGGGTTGTATGAAATGACTTCTTCATGTGATTAAATGGCAGTGGTTAAAAACCATACTCTTTTTTTTAAGTTTGTATATCTGTGATAATTGTAGGTAGTCCTTGACTTATAACCATTCCTTTAGTGACTGAAGTTACAACAGCACTGAAAAAAGTGACTTATGACCATTTTTCACACTTATGATTGTTGCAGCATCCCCATGATCATGTAATCAAAACATTGTAGGATGTTTTCAGTATAACTAGGGATACTTTTTATTATTAAAATATGTAGTATATTTTTACACATGTTGTAGGCCATCCAGAGTTGCTTGGATAGTAAGATGGGAAGCGTATCAATTTAATGGATAAATATTAATCCACACTGACAAATATTTTTCAGTATGTTGAAAATACAAACAAAGCAACCTCTATATGGATAAAATCAGAAAACTCCACAAGAGTTACATATTGTATGATTTTAACTTGATTTTAGCTAATTGCAGAAACTCGTGCTATGAACTGAAATCTATTTTCTAGCAGTTAAATAACATTCATCTGCTAATTCAGATGATGATACCTTTTAGATAAAACGATACAATTTCTAAGCTTCTTAACTTTCAAGTACACATATGTTTGCCATTTTAGATTCATCTACTATAAGGATATAAGATAGACCTGCTAGAAGTTGTTCAATATTACAGTAGCACTTCTTTTCATTGCTGCTATTTGCATGATTTCGAGATGAAGGAATATACTAGTAAATATTCTTGCAGGTAAAATTTGATTTTCCTTTTTCCTTCTTTCTAAAGAAATGCTCGAGATTGGTCCAGAAAGATAACCCAGAGAATAAAATCTAACAGCAGTAAGAAACGAAAAGTTTCACTGCTCTTTGATCATCTGGAACCAGAGGAATTGTCAGATCACCTCACTTACCTTGAATTCAAGTCCTTCCGAAGAGTATCAGTGAGTCAATGACTTTTTATAAGTTAATTGCAATTATAATTTATAAATAACTTATAAATTATGCAGTTTCTTTGAATAATGCATGTAGTGAGGTAAGTTCGGTGTGGAAAGATAAAAGTAATGAAGTGATGCTGACGCGGAATACATTTTCCACCTACATTTACATTTCTGAGAGCAAGGAAAGAGGTTGTGTTGAGTGTAAATGGTGCATGCTTAATAATATCCATTGGCCTGTTGTACAACTGACACATTTCCAATAGAATGCAAATAATTCAAATTCAAATGAGCTCAAAGTTTTATTATGCAAGTATGGAAATTATAAGAAAAGTCTTTCTTATAATGAGCACACTTCTTAAACATTTTGTTTAGAATATAGAAGCAGAGTCCATTTGTTAGTCAAAACTTTGAAGGAGTTGGAAGTATCTCCTTCCCATTCCATCTTGAATTAAAATTGGTCCAATAAATGCAGTCATATTGGGAACAATAGGCAGTGGCATGAGCAAAATTAGTAAGTGTACCTTTCAACTGTAGTGCATATTGTTTGTGCACCTTGAAATTTAGTTGGTTGAAATTTGACTGGCCCTCTCCCTAATTATTTTTCAAAATGTTGGAAATAGATCTTTCTTAGGACAAATGACACTGTTGATGTGTCTATGCGCTTAAGTACAATTAACTGAAATTATTGTTTGGCATGACTGGCCTTCTTCCACTTCTAAATAAAAATTTCTAATGATTTAATATATATATAAATATTACACACACACACACACACACACACTGTGCACAATTATTAGGCAAGTGATTATATTGACCATATCCTCATTTTCATGCATATTTCCCATCTCCAAGCTGTATAAACTTGAATGCTTAGTGGATATAAGCATATCAGGTGATGTGTATTTATGTAATGAGGGAGGGTGTGGCCTAAGAAGATCAGCACCCTATATCAAGGTGTGCATAATTATTAGGCAGCTTCTTTTCCTCAGGCAAAATGGGTCAAAAAAGATTTAACTGACACTGAAAAATAAAAAAAAAGTCTTTCAGAGGGATGCAGCACTCTTGAAATTGCTAAGATATTGGAGTGTGATCACAGAACCATCAAATGTTTTGTTGCAAATAGTCAACAGGGTTGCAAGAAGCGTGTTGAGAAAAAAAGATGCCATTAACTGCCAAAGATTTGAGAAGAATCCAATGTTAAGCTCCCAGGAACCCATCATCCTCCAGTGCTGTCATATTCCAGAACTGCAACCTACCTGGAGTGCCCAGAAGTTCAAGGTATTCAGTGCTCAGAGACATGGTCAAGGTAAAGAAGGCTGAAACCCGATCACCACTGAACAAGACACCTAAGTTGAAATGGCAAGACTGGGCCAAGAAATATCTGAAGACAGATTTTTTCAAAGGTTTTATGAATGAGAGTGACTTTTGATGAACCAGTTGGATGGGCCTGTGGCTGAATCAGTAATGGGTACAGAGTTCCACTTCAACTCAGACGCCGGCAAGGTGGAGGATACTGGTATGGACTGATATTATTAAAGATGAACTAGTTGGCTCTTTTAGGGTAGAAGATGGACTCAAAATGTTTGATGGTTCTGTGATCACACCCCAATATCTTAGCAATTTCAAGAGTGCTGCATCCCTCTGAAAGACTTTTTACATTTTTTTTATTTTTCAGAGTCAGTTAAATCTTTTTTGACCCATTTTGCCTGAGGCAAAGAAGCTGCCTAATAGTTACGCACACCTTGATATAGGGTGCTGATCTTCTTAGGCCACACCCTCCTTCATTAGACAAATACATATCACCTGATATGCTTATATCCAGGGCTTTTTTTGTCATAGAACGCCCAGAACAGAGTTCCGGCACCTTTTTTGGATGGAACCTTGTAGGGTAGGCAAGGCGGGTTGTATGACATGTGTGAGTTCTGGCACCTTTTTTTTTTTTTACAAAAAAAACACTGCTTATGTCCACTAAACATTCAAGTTTATACAGCTTGGAGATGGAAAATATGCATGAAAATGATGATATGGTCAATATACTCACTTGCCTAATAATTGTGCACACAGTATGTATATATGTGTGTGTGTGTGTGTGTGTGTATGTATGTATGTATGTATGTGAGTGATTGGATAAATGAAATAGATGGTTAGTAAATAAGGAAGGAAGGAAATATACAGTATTTGTAAACAAATACATCTAATAGTCAGTTCTTACAAAACATGCTTAATCTTTTTCTGTGGTCCATATTTCATATAGAAGGACAGTATCTCTGGAAGGGGATGATTGGACTAAGTAAGAGTGGTTAGCAAAAATTATATGTCTTATTTTGCATAAGTTGAAGGGCTTTCCTGTAGCAATGAAGCCTTGCCTTCTCATCCTACCAGTTGCAGTGCCTATGCTTGTGGAAGAACTATTCCATTGAGTTTAAAGCTTAAGAACATAAAATCAGGTGAGCCAGGAAGCCTGGTAGGCTCAAAACAAATGCAACTGGCCACATTGAGCCCATGGGGACCAACATATTAGTTTATAGTGGTATGTGAGCAAAACTAGCATTCATCAGGAAGGCAAAAATGGAGTAGGATTAGTTTCTAAGCAAAGACAGATAATTTATGAATATTGGTTCTTTATCTCCTTTTGCTTGAAAATGTATAGCTAAATTGCTTCAAAGCTTTGGAATGAGTCCCTGATCAAAGAATCAATGTATACTTGTCTTCACATATGTAAGTTTAACAATTCAGAAAACAAACCGTAATGATTCTCACTTAGTCACGCGTCAGTACTTTTTATTTTGAACTCTTGTTTTAGGACTTTTCTCATGTGCTTAGTTAAAATATAATGGTCATGGAAACTGGCCATATCTCCATCCAGTAAACAGCAATCCATTTATACAAAATTGATATTTAAGCTTGTATATAGCCTATTTTTTTGATTTAGGTTAATGGCTGTTGACTAAGAACAACAATGCCTTATCTTTTTTTAAAAATCAATCTTGATTGCATTAAACAGGCCATTTGGTTACATAACAGAGTTGATCATAAATGAATACTAAGATAATTTTGTTTATGTACAAATGAAAGAACTATTTTATACACTGATGTTAAAATAAATAAGCAGTTGTTTTTAAAAGAGCATATTTCATAGCAGTGTCCATGTTCTGTTGCTTTATTTTTGTTCAGGACCTCATTCCCATAATAACTATGTCAAATGTTATAAATGCAAGGGGAAAATATTTTAAATGAGTCAAAATACTTTACCGTGGATCTTGCATGTAAAAACAGAGGGCAAGTATTTGTCTATATAGAAATTGATAACTAAAGCAGGAAACTGATTTTAGTAGATGATTTTTTAAAGCAAGTTTCAGCATGGAGGTTCTTAAAATAATATAGACATTTTCATGTGAAAATGATGTGTTCTACTGGAACTATTTTATGTCCACCATAAAGGGTTTATAGCATTTGACATAACAATAAGAGATTTTTCTAATCAGTTTTCTAGACAATTGTTGTTTAAAGCTAGCTAACGAGCTTCAAATTATATTTTAATAATCCTATTTAGATTTCCATAAACTTAAGTACAGATAGTTCTCCACTTATAACCACAATGGAGCCCAAAATGTCTGTTGCTAAGCGAGACATTTGTTTAATGAATTTTGCCTCATTTTACAATCTTTCTTGCCACATTTGTTAAGGGAATCGCTGTAGTTATTAAGTTAGTAACATGGTTGTTAAGTGAATCTGACTTGTCTATTGACTTTGTTCGTCGGAAGATCAGAAAAGGTGATCACATGACCCCAGGACACTGCAACCGTTATAAATATGAGACAGTTGCCAAGCATCTGAATTTTGATCATGTGACCAAGGGGTTGTTGCAATGATCACAAGCATGATTATAAGTCACTTTTTTCAATGCTGTTATAACCTCAAACAATCACTAAATGAACTGTTGTAAGTCGAGCACTATCTGTAGAGGTTACATAAAATAATTTAATGGAAAACTATATTTGTTTAACCTGTCAATTAATAGTTACTCTACCTGAAGTTTCCAGATTATCAAAACTACATCATAAATGGATGTGTGAAGGACAATCCGACAATGGAACGCTCAATCACACTTTGTAATGGTATTTCACAGTGGGTGCAACTAATGGTATTAAATAGACCAACACCACAGCTTCGAGCTGAAGTATTCATCAAGTTCATTCATGTGGCCCAGGTCAGCTCAGTTATGAATTACTTTCAGTTTGTTTTACTCTTTATTTGTTCATTTAATAATTGTTACATTCAATTCATCATCACCGTCATACCTCTCAAGAGGTTATCAGCGCCTGCTGCTAAATGGGGTCTTTAGAAATGCTGCAGTGATCAGTCATTTCCCTTTTTGAACGGGCTTAGCTGACATTGCCAGCATTATTAGGATGGGGGCTGAATGGATTGATACCGAGTATTGCATTGTGAGAAATGTACAAAAGCTGCCAAGACCATTGGTACCACTGTCCATTGAAATATAGGAAAAGGAAATGGGCAAGATAAACATATGCCTTGGGGGGCGGGAATCTCTTGGAGCATGTGGCTTGGTATCCATCTGTTTATATTAGATACCAATGCTAGGTCTGGTTCTTTTATCTAATCAGATCACATTTCCTGTGGGGAAAAAGTCAACATTAAAAGTCTGTAAACTAAAAAAAAGCATTTATCTAACTCAAAGTAAGTAGGTTAGATAACTACAGAACAAAATTTTGTGAATAACACTGAATAAAATACGGTATATTTAAAGCTGTATTGGGAAAATGTTCCTTTAAATATTATTGAGATAATACCCAGTTCAATTATATTAATCAAAAATATATTTTTCATCAAACAATTGTACTGGTTTTTTTTTAAATACAGAAACTTCATCAGTTGCAAAATTTCAACACATTAATGGCTGTGATAGGAGGTCTTTGCCACAGTTCCATCTCTAGACTTAAAGAAACAAGTTCTCATGTTCCTCATGACATCCATAAGGTTAGCTGTGCTTTTTCCTGGTTTTTGTTCATTCCCCAATATCCGTATTAAATCTATACAAGCAGTTTAGAAAGATACTAGGCAAAGTGAGCTCTTAATTTTCTGAACATGCTGTTCCAAACGTTTGGGCACTGTTTCCTCTTGCCAAGTTATTTTATTTTGGTGGTAATTCCACTGGAAGCATCTATATTATATACGCATACATGCTGAGATGGTATCTTGTCCTTTCATACCTTAAGCCACAGGTTGGACAACATCTCTGCCATTTTGTTATGCATTCCTGTGAATGATTTGCAGAGTTTTAATTAATACCCCATCTTTCAGCTATAAGACCATTTAAGATCATTCACCTATATGGTGTCAAAGATTAATACATGATAAAGATGATGAACTTCATAAATATTTAAAAATTATTATTCTATTGAGCAATTTGGAAATAGTGATTAAGTTGTTGTGGTCAAAATTTGCCACCGAAACTGTATTTTCAAAAAGAGATTGTTATATAGGATTCTGGTGTATGATTGCAAAATGGTCTTATATGTCTCAAATGGCTATAACACTAAGCAATAACTCAATAATATCAGAACATGTCATAATGTCTTTCTGGGAAGAAGAACTGCACATTTTAGATTAACTGCATGGGAATCTGAGTAAGTGAGTTTAATCTTAAATATGATGACTGAAATTCTAATTTGTGAGGCTGACTTTCAATGGACTATAGCAGTGGTTAATTTAAATTGGAAGCAGAGACTTTTAACTTCCTTGCAGTTATGTCCAAGGAGGGAAGTTCATGAATTTATTCTTATTATTCTTAATTATGACTTGGCATTATATCAAAACATAAATGTTATAGTGTTTTATTGCAAACTTGCTACGGTGATTTATTTATTATATTATACCAATGTTTCTCAGCCTTGGCAGCTTTCTGATGTGTGGACTTCAGCTCCCAGAGTTCTTGAGCCAACATCACTGGCTAGGGAATTCTGGGAGTTGAAGTCCATACATCTGAAAGCTGCCAAGGTTGAGAAACACTATATTATACTAAAAATATATTATACTAAATTACGAACAAAGCTGACTGAATTTGCTTTTGTTGATTTGCCTTTAGATATTCAATGAAATGACTGAATTGCTGTCATCCGGTAGGAACTATGATAATTACAGACGTGCTTATAATGAGTGCAGTAACTTTAAAATTCCTATTCTTGGAGTACATCTGAAAGATTTAATTTCCCTTTATGAAGCTATGCCAGATTACTTGGAAGATAAAAGAGTTAATATGCACAAATTGTATTCTTTGTACAATCATGTCAATGAATTGATTCAGCTGCAGGAGATAGGTCCTCCTCTGGAAGCTAACAAAGATCTTGTCCATCTCCTTACAGTAAGTGTTGATATTTATAGATTGTATTTTATGTAATCTGCTTTCACTTTTTTTAAAGTTAAACCAGCCTGAGCTATTTTAAATAGATAGAATGTTACACATTGAAAGTCTCTGTTCAACTCTATACAGTACAAATCTTTAACTGATAGGAAAGCAATCCCTTTCATTTCTGAAAAAAACAATGTTAATTTGTTTTCTACATACTCTTTGGTTCCACTGCTTTGTGAGCCAGTTCCTACTGTATGTTGCTTGGTACTGCGAGACATGTGTCTATAGAATACTTTAGTCAGGGCCAGAAATGGGTTTCATTTATTAAAGATTTCTGAAGATTTAGAATTATAGAATTGCCACCCTAAACTACATTGCTTAACATCCATGTCAGTGGTCCCTCACTGTGAATATTGAATGGATAGTAGCTGTGTGATAAATATGTAGCTGATCAGTATAAGAAGCTGGTTCCACATTAGTACAATTGCTTTGTACTTTGAACCTTTGAAAACAGATTTTGACAGCATAACACTGTGGTACTAAGACCCTAATCTTAAAAACATTTTTCTAATTATATTTCAGCAAAATGATACCTGCTCAGAATTAATAGATTGTAATCTTCCACAGAGCTAATGTAAAGCTAAGTGAGAGTATAAATACAAATGATTTCTTGTGAAAAACGAAATAGGATTTTAATTACTAATAATGCTCCTCTAAAAATACTGTCAATATTATTTAACTAGTTGAAATCCTCCCTCCCCCCTCACACACACAGATACATACAGAGTTACCTCTCTTTGGATCAGCTTGAACAGTCAAAGGGAAAGATTGTAGGAACAATGAAAATTATATATTAATTTGCCCATGATCTTCTCCTGCTTCATTGTGATAGTTTCTAGAAAACATTGGAACCAGGGACAAAAGAGAAGACTATATAGTTGTCTTTCCTGATACCACAACTAGTAAATGTGAGCAGATGTCACAGAATAAGGCCTGACAGGAGGTTGTTTGACTAAATTGGAAAGTTTATATCCCATGAACCTGAAATCCTCATATAATCTATTAAGATTTGAAAGTGGGTAACTTTCCTTCAAAGCAGATCTGAATTGTCACTGCTTGCATTTCCAGTATTTTTTGTTTCCAGAAAAATATATTTAAAATGAGAGTAGATTTTGAATAAATTGCTTTGGGGGTAAGGTCAATTGCTGATATAAGAAGCATTCATATTTGCTCTGCTCTGACCTACAGCACTACAATATATATGGATAAATGTGTTCATTTTTGATTGTGATGTTTAGACTTATGATATCTAGATGTTTGTGCTATATTAGAGACCTCAGATTCAGAAAAACACAACATTTTTGGAGAACACCAACGCATTTTGAAAGTAAAACTGTTCTTGTATTTATTTTCAGTTGTCACTTGACCTTTACTATACAGAAGATGAAATTTATGAACTTTCATATGCACGAGAGCCAAGAAGTCACCGGGCTGCAGTAAGATATTTTATTCCAAAACAGGATGTAAAATAATTTAATTATATCAGAACAACAATTATAATAATTTAATATAACCTACAATAATAATTATTAAATAAGTGCAATACAAATGCACTTATATATTGCAAACATACATTTACATGTTGCAGTAGCAGTATTAGCTACTAAGACATGTACTGTTTAGGGCAAAATTTAATAGGCAGTCAAAAGCAATTCAGTATCCAAGTATAATAGTAACAACAACAACAACAACAACACCTTTCCTTAGCAAGTCAGTGTGTTAGAATAGGGAACCTTCCATTGACCAAAGACCTCACTTAACTTTTTGAGGGGAAAAGGAATGTGAAAATAGAGTTTCAAACCATTTTTTAAAATTATGATTTATTTATTAAGTATAACAATCAGAAGATATACTACATACAAGCCAAAAAAATTTGCCCTGCTAGTAAAATATTTTAGTACTTACACAATAATCTTTAACTGTGCCATCATTTTCAATAGTCTTGACCAGAAGTGTCTGTGAGGGCTGTAAAAAGAGAACTAGAGCTGCTAGTGCAAATGGAATCATAAATACGAAATACCCCAAAATCACAAAATATTTAAGTTTAGAAACTGCTGACCCACAGTCTCTTTTTCACAAACTCAACAGTATCATGGAAAGGCCAGTCCAACCTTCACACCATCATCAATAATGATAGGGGATGATAGCTACAAATACATTCTTAAGAGACCTTCTAAACCTGAGGGTCTTAAATAATAAATAATAATAAAGCCGACTGTCTTCTCTGTATTACAGGATTGGGCAACTCCCAATTTGCTTTTGTGACTTTCGGAGTGTCCTTTCCCCAGTAATGCCTCCATTTCTGGTGACATTAGTTCTATGCCCCCTCAGAAACAATACTTTAAAAAAATGAAGAGCAATCTCCTAGAGATCAGGGGATGAAGTGGATGAAAAAAGGGGATAGATTATGATCCACTAATTCACAATGCCCCTTTTGCCTTTTTCAAAGACAGTCTGCCTCACAAGAGGTACTTTGCTCTATGGTAAGTGGCTAATGATGTTATTCAATGTTGTTTCGGACTGAGATTTCCAGACACAAGAGTATTAGTAAAAGTGTAGTTTTGATAATTTGGGAAATTAATTAATTAAATGTATGTAGCACTCAACTCTCAGCAACATCGTATACAATATATAAAAATATTACATAAAGTTGAGTTACCCAAACTATCTGGCAGCTTCACTTTATTAATGCTTACTAGTACCATACTAAATATTGAAATATTCTAAACATATAACTGCTTTTAAACATTTAGGAATGCTTTTCCTCAATAAATATCCAAATACATTTTACTTTTTTAGCCGCTGACACCTTGTAAACCACCAGTTGTAGCAGATTGGGCATCTGGAATTGCCCCCAAACCTGATCCAAAGATAATTAGTAAGCATGTCCAGAGAATGGTAGATGTAAGTATGCTGTTTTATTTATTATAAAATTTTTATGTAGTCTTTTGAGTCCTGATTCATGCTATATTGGTTGCGGCAGTTCATTGCAGAATTCCCATGTGCATTAGTATATTACTAGAAAATATGTTTATACTACTGCTGTGCTTCTAGATCTTAATAACTTATTTTTCATTTACTTTACCAGTCCTTTGCTTGGAAACCCCCACAAAAGCACCTTTTCAAATAAAGTGGCTGGGAAGAAATATATGGCTACCCCCTATCCATATACTACCATACCTATGTGTATTAGACCATTATGTACTTATAATAAATAAAATCTAGGGCTTCATGGGCTCCATGATAAGATGGAATGGAATGGAATAGAATAGAATAGAATAGAATAGAATAGAATAGAATAGAATAGAATAGAATAGAATAGAATAGAATAATGGAATGGAATGGAATGGAATGGAATAGAATAGAATAGAATAGAATAGAATAGAATAGAATAGAATAGAATAGAACAGAACAGAATAGAATAGAATAGAATAGAATAAAATAGAATAGAATAGAATAATGGAATGGAATGGAATGGAATAGAATAGAATAGAATAGAATAATGGAATGGAATGGAATAGAATAGAATAGAATAGAATAGAATAGAATAGAATAGAATCTAGAAGGGCCTTGGAGGTCTTCTAGTCCAGCCCCCTGCTCGAGCAGGAGAACCTATGCTATTTCAGACAAGTGACTGTCTAGTTTAACCCCTTTGTCTCAATTCATGATGTGAAGGAACATTTCTGCTAGCAGTTTCCCATGATATAAATCCAGAAAAATGAATTTCAGAGTAACCTAAATTAACACTCTTCATGATTGCAAATCTGAGACCTGGCTACAAAACTTTGAAAAAATGTAGCTTGAAAATCATGGAGCTAAACTCTGAGAGTCAATGGTGAAGTATCAGACTAGAAAGCAGGAGACTGTGAGTTTTATATTTATTTATATTTCATGTTTCCCGCCTTAGCCATAAAAGCAACTGGGTATCTTTGGGCCAGTTACTCTCTCTCAGCCTAACCCACCTCACAGGGTTGTTGTTGTGAGGAAAGGTTTGTTGGATATGTTCACTCGTGTGAGTTGTTTGTAAAAATAATAAAGGTGGGATACAAATAAATAAAGTAAGAATTGAAGGGAAAGAAGAAATGGCACTCCAAAAAAGGGCATTTGTATCATTTGATGTTAGAACTAAATTATTCGAAATTTCTATAAAATTTTTAAATAAGTACTTGACTAAGTTGCATGCTGTGTATTATATATTATGTAGAGGACTAAGTGGAGACCCGGTATTTTAGTAGAGCGTGCAGAAGCTAAATACTGTATATAAATGAAACACTTTTAAATGCCAGATAATTTTTAATGATTTTACAGAAAAGGAGAAATTGATAGTTTTCCTTATATACCTTTTAAAAAAGTACTTTAAAATTAAACTATGTAAAACACCCCAAATCTCTATTTTGCTATTTGTATATTGAATGCTATGTCATAGAATTGGAAGGAACAATATAAGCAATAGAATCCAAATGCCTAGTTAATTGAGGAACTTCAAGTGGTATTTGATTTATTTCAACTACAGATTTTCTTACTTTCTTATTACTTCATGCAGTCTGTTTTTAAAAATTATGACCATGATCAGGATGGATATATTTCTCAAGAAGAATTTGAGAAGATTGCTGCGAGCTTTCCTTTCTCCTTTTGCATAATGGATAAGGACAGGTATTTACTAATAATGTTTTCTGCTTATCTTTTTATGGGTATCATTATTCAAAGAAAGTATTGGACTTGTGTGATATAGAATTGTACATACTTATATTGTCTCCTTGTTCTTACCATCTTTGAAACCTTAAGTTTGGTTCTCACTGAGGATGGGATCGTTCCTTGAGCTTTTGACCAGTTAACAAGCCTTGTCTATTACTCTCTTTGGTGATTGTTGGATGACGTTAGTGAAAAGCTTGCTTATCATGCTTGGTTTCAAATAATTGACCTTAGAGCAAGAGGTTATAAATGCTTTTATATTTAAAGGATGCCTAGTGTGCATTTTTCCTCCTCCTTTAAGCTTGTTCATTCTCTTAAACAGACTTAGAATTCATAAAGTGCAATTTGAAGGTACAGTGGAGGTAATTATTCCCTGGCCTGCTTCTTTGTTTTGATAATTGTACAGCTTGCTCAGGATTATTTGTGAAGGCTGCTTCTCAAGCTGGTTTTGAAGAACTTTGAAGGAGCCCTTGTGATCTCCTTGGCAGGATCATGTAGGGTGTGTGCTTGTGTGTTTCACGTACTTCTAAATATTCTTTGCTGTGAAAATGAATTAGTGCTTTTATATTAATGAGCTGATAGATGTGTGGCTGAATTGAAGGACGGAGACCCTGTTAATTCCTTCTGCTTTAGATGCATTAAGCCTCAATTGTCCTTTTTGTTTGTTTGTTTGTTTGCAGGGAAGGTCTGATTAGCAGGGATGAAATTACAGCCTATTTCATGAGGGCCAGTTCAATCTATTCAAAATTAGGCCTTGGCTTTGCCCACAATTTCCAGGAGACCACTTACCTAAAGCCGACATTCTGTGACAACTGTGCTGGATTTGTAAGCTTGGGGATAGGGGATATTTGAAAAGTAAAATTATATCTCACAGTGTGTATAACAAATTGTTATCAGGTAATGTTTGGTTGCAATAGTAACTCCAGCTTTTTGTTACTATGGAATTTGTTTCATTTCATTTCATTTTTGTGCCCTTAATACTTTATTTACTGTTAACCCGTAAATTCCCTCATTATGAGGTGCATGCATTGCATAATTAAGGTTTTAGGTCAAATTTCGGAGATTTTCAGTTTTAGTTCTAGAACTCTGAGTCCTCTGAGTATATGTAAATCCTGAAAAGTTGCTGCTGCAACATCAGATTAACCAATGATCTGATTCAATGGAGGCATCGTTCCATCATGGAATTCAATAGAACTGAATGTAAATAGTAAATGTCAACCATTAGATGTCCTTTGAAGGCAACAACTAGGCCTTCTCACCTTCTATAAAACGGCTGCATCATGTGGCCTTAAGCTTTGAAAATATATTCGGTTATTGAAACATCTGTATTCTTGCCAAAGGAAGTTTTACTATGATGATATCTCAGAGCTCTTACTAATCTTTAGACATTTATTTCATAGCCTTCACTTATAATTTATGGCAGAAGTTCCTGGTGTCTTCATGGGGAGAAGATTTAACTTTCCCTGACTATAGTATTTGATAGGAACCATTTAAGCCATCTGCTCTAATTTTTGCTATGTATAGGAATCTAAATTAAAACAACCAGTTTCTACCTAACCTCCTTTTCAACACATTAACAAAACCACCATTGCTTTGGTTGTTCTATAACTGTGGAACCACTATTACTGTTAAAGGATTATGTTTCACAGTCAATACTTTGCCTTCCTTTAACTTAAATATTTTATTGCGTGTCCTGCACTTTGGAATGAGATAGGAAAAATGTGACTTTCTTTGATGTGATACCCTTTCAAGTATTTGAAGAGTGCTTTCATATCCACATCCCACAAAATAATGTTTACTCAAAGCTAAACATACCCACCTCCTTTGATCTCTCTTTTTAGTTTTAGTTTCCAGTTTCTGCTTATCTTTATGCACTTCTCTAAATCTGTTTCTGTTTGTCTGAATCCTTGTTAAAGTGTGGTACCCAGAATTGGATACAGTAGTTGGAGTAGGAGTCTAACCAAAACAGAATAAAATGGAATTATTACTGCTTGTGATTTGGAAATCATGCTTTTTTTGAGGCAGCCTAAAATGTAATTTGCCTTCATTATAGTCAAATCATTTGCTTTCTTTGCAACTATATCATTCACTTTTCAATCAACTGCTACTTTAATACCTCTTTTGAAAGTAATTTTGCTAAATCAGGTATTCTGTCTCCCTTATTATAACATTTGATTTTGGTTTTCTGAATGAAAAAAATTGTGATTATATTTGTTAAATTTCATTCTGTTGCTTACAGTACATTTCTCAAATCTCAAATAATTGATTATTATTTTTCATTTCATTTCTATCTGGTGGTATATTACCTCTCCCCAAATTATTATTATTCTGCAAATTTGATAAGCATTTCCTCCATTTCACTTCGTCATTCAAAACAATAGTAGAGTAGAATTCCAGGATTGATACTTGTGGCACCCACTTAATATTTCTTTTCAATTTGATGATGAACCATTGCTAAGTGAGTGTGGTTTACAAACTGTTTAATTTGTCATGCCATCCATTTCACATTTAATTAATCAGCATATTATAGGTTCTTCGACAAATTCTTTGCTGAGTCAAAATATATTATGCCTATAGTATTCCCACAATTTATAAAGGAAGTTATTTAATCAAAAAACAGATGGGGTCTGGACTAGATAATCTAGTCTGGATAGATTAACAAATCCATGATGACTTCTGATAATTATTGCATTTTGTAATTTTTGCAATGTTTTGTAGACTAAACCTTTAGTATTTTTAAAATCTTCCCAAATATTGATGCAGATATTCCTCTGTAGTCTCCTGATTCTTTTTCTCCCTTGCTCCCCTTTTTATAGATAAGATCAGATTTTTACTCTTTCAGTTCTCTAGTCCTTCATTGCTCTTTGAAAGTATATCAAAGGTAATGCATAAATATTACCTCAGTATCTTAGCAAGTGATTCATTTTGTCCTAGAGATTTAAACTCATTCAAAATAAAACAATATTCATAACCTTGTTTCTACCAGCCTCAAAGTTTAGTCCTTCATTTTCTGCTTCACTATTTCTTAGTAGAATACATATTTTGTTTAGAATACTGAACCAAACAGGAGTTTGATAGTTCTGTTTGCTTTGTTTTCTGCTACACTTTTGTGTTCTTTACAAAGCAATTGATCTTTTGTTTTTCATTGTACATATCTGAATTTTTTGCAGTTGTGCTTTTGAGATCTCTTATTTTAGAAATTTGCACCCATCTTGAGTTTTTTTCTTTTAGCTTCACCTACTGTGGGATCCTATTATCATTGCTTTAAGTTTATTAACATTTGTTTTTGAAGTCCAAAATGAATATTTGACAATGTTCAGTTTTAATTTGTCTTAATAGTAAGGACTTCAGAATTACATGATTTCCACCTGCTCCTTCTACTTTCTTTTCTAAGCCTCCCTAAAGATTAGTGTGAAGTCAAGAATCCCCTTGTGCTTTTCCCAACTTTATGTAGGAGAAAATAGTCATAAAGACAAGTCTAGAATTTCCTCCCAATTGACGTCATTGCAACTTCACTTTCAAAGATGTAGTATTTGCTTCTGGACAGCTTTGTCCTTTTTGTTTGGGTCAATACATTCCAATAGTTGTGTTGCTTTTATTTTCTCTTTGACTAATTTAAAATCCAGATGGTTTTTACAGCATTGCCAAAATCATTCATTTAGACTTCTAAACAAGAATGCCTACATGTAACTTTAATACATGTGACCTATGTATGTATTAGAATTACAGAACTTTCTTTCTGTTGCTTCAGTTCTTTGGAACAAAGTATATCCTTCAATTGCTATATTCCAATCCTGACAGTCTCTTCAGATGAATCATTATAGCTGTTATATTTTCTTCTGTACTACAAACTCAAACTCTTTTTGGTTATTTACCATATTTTGAGTATGAATATGAAGGCATGGAATGCTACCCATTTCTAATACTTTTAATCTCGGGTATTATTTAATAGTATTATTCTAATACTATTGAAACCTCTCAGTAAAAACAGCTTTTGGAATTCCTTGCACTGAAAGTTGCTTTAATGTGAGTCAAGAAAAAAGATCAGTATTTAAATTTTGATAATAATCCACAGAGCTAACTATTCTTAAACTTGTATAAATTAAGTTGAAACTCTTGCATCTTCTCTTGATCATTTTAAATGCAGTTTGCAAATGAAAATAAAGATGGAATTGTTTTAAAATACTCTAGATGTTCTGAAAATTGTAGACAATGATTATTAATTAACTAAATACAGAACCAGAATATTTTATGTTGTGTCCATTAGCTATATTGTACTGTTTTGGGAAGATTTTTATTTTTATTTAGGGGTAAAAGAGGCCTTCTTCTTTCATTAGTTTGCTGAATGGCATTTTTGCCTGCTTATATAGTCATATGTGTTACATTTTTGATGATTTCACGAAACTAAAATTTGAAAAAGAGCAGTTTAAATTTATGGTGTAACTTGAATACAATATTGTAATGTGTTTTTCTTATCTTTTTAGCTTTGGGGTGTTATTAAACAAGGATATAGGTGCAAAGGTAATTAACTTTGAGTTAAATCATCTTTAATGGCAAATTGGCCATTGTGATACCTTTTTTTCTCTTTAATAACAGATTTAACATTATTTTAGAGATAGGATTTTTAGCATAAACAACCTAGAACCTAAAAAAATCCCTATCTATATCTATATCCCTCTATTGCTATGTTCGTTTCCTGGGTAACTGCAAAATCTTGGAAGAAACAATCAAGAAAATATACAGAGATCATTACATCAGTTCATGTTCATCTTAGGTTATTAACTGGCAGGTGATTTTATTAAAATGAATAATTTGACTTTTAGTTAAGTAGCAATGCCATATAATACTGTTCTACATTTTTAATACATACATACATACATACACACACTTTAGATATATACAGCATAACAAGGGAAAGTCGATGACATTGCTGTCCTGAGATAGAAGAGGAATTAGTATGTGGAATTAGTATTTTACTTTTTGCCACTAAGCCAATGAGCTGACTTTGTTTTTATTTGTTTGAAGACTGTGGAATGAACTGTCATAAGCAATGCAAGGATCTAGTTGTATTTGAATGCAAGAGAAGACCCAAAATGACCGCTGTGGATAATAGTCCAACAACAGCTCTTGCATCTAGCCTCTGTCCCATGGGACTTAAAGAGCACATGCATGGTAAGTTCAGTTTAATGAAACTGTAACTATGTTACTCAATAGTTTGTCTATTTTTTTTAAGAATAATAATAGTTAAGTTTAATAGGTAGGAATGATTTTCAAAATGGCCTTCCACTGTTAATACATCAGCAAATTCCATCTACTCTGCAAAAATTCATCAGGGCTTCAGAAAATATATATACTTAGGGAACAAATGTTGTGTTTAACCTTGGACAGTGGAGGATCTCCTTTTTTATGCAATATCTTTGTTTCTGAAGCCAACACAATTAATTGTCAGTACTAAACCAAGTAAGCAATAAGTAGAACTGTATTACAGGGCAGGGAGATGCTTCTTTCAATATTTCAACATAAAGACAATGTTACTAATTAAAATATATTTAATATATTTATATTTGTAATTAACATCTAAATTCTAGCTAGAATTCATACAGATTTACAAAGATATGTATCATTGTGAAGGTTTTTTTACACCATGTGTAATAGGTAAACCTTCAGGTTTCTGGGTTCTATAATCTCCCAGGACTTGAAATGGACACCTAACATTAAAACAATCATTAAAAAGGCACAATAAAGAATGTGTTCTTTCTGTATCAACCTAGAAAGCTCAGACTGCCCAAGGAGCTGCTGATACAGTTCTACAGAGGAATTATTGAATCTATCATCTGTAATTCTATAACTGTTTAGTTTGGTACACCAACCAAACAGGACAGATACAGACTTCAACAGATAGTTAGGACTGCAGAAAAACCATTGCAACCAGCCTGCCTTCCATTGAGGACCTATATACTGCGTAATCCAGAAAAAGTGCTGAGAAAATATCTACAGTTCCCTCACATCCTGAACATAAACTGTTTCAATTCTACTTCTTAGGATGCTGCTATAGGCATTGCATGCCAAAATAACTAGATACAAAGACAGTTTTTCCTCCCTTGTGCCATCACTCTACTTAATTCCCACAGTCTTATTACTGATGTAGTAGGGTTATATTACTATTATCCTTCTCGTCTTTTCTTTTACCTTCTACTATTGATATCTTATGATTATATTACTTTGTTGTTTGTATGTACACTGAGAGCTTATGCAGCGGAGACAAATTCCTTGTGTGTCCAGTCACACTTGGCCAATAAAGATTCTATTCTGTTCTGTTCTATTCTAAATTTCAGAAACTGAGTATGATTTTTAGCATGTGTATATATGAACCTAAGACGTAAACCATAGATAATATAAGATGTATGATCTAACCACAGTTGTTCATTAAGAAATTGTGGTTAAAACAAGCCATAGCTTAATGTCATGTGTGATCTTATTTAGAAGTGATCATTACGAGCATGTTATTATATTCTGTTATTTTTTTTCTGTTTTAAAATCTTCCTACTCTTAAATAATCAGTAGTAGGATATAAATGTTTCTCGCCAAAAAGCACTGACTTATAGGGCCAGTATTGTTAATATAATGGACAAATTACATGATGAAATGTATAGTAATGCTAGGAATAAAATTAAGGAAATACAATAAATAGTGGTCTTTAGATATTATTTTCACTAAGCATTCCAGAATATTGTGTAGTTCAGTGTTTCCCAAACTTGACAATTTTAAGGCATGTGGACTTCAACTCCCAGAATTCCACAGCCAGCGTTGCTGGCTGTAGAATTCTGGGAGTTGAAGTCCTCATGCCTTAAAATTGTCAAGTTTGGGAAACACTGGTGTAGTTCATTAAGATCCCCAGTGCTCATTGCTTGTGTTTTATGTTTTTCCCCACCTTAGGGCTGGAGGAAGGAGGATTTCCATTTCCTAATGGTGAGATGGTTGAACATAATGAAGGCAGCAAAGATAGAACTATTATGCTTATGGGAGCCTCAACCCAGAAGATCTCAGTAAGGCTAAAGCCATCTGTGGTACACAGGAGTACACAAACTGATATAATGATGATGCACGGTAATGATGTGTCTAATTTACAAAGAGAGTCTGGAACATTACCTGAAAGTAGTTTTCTACAGCCATCTCCTGTGTTTCCATGTCCAAGTCCAATTCTTGGCCGTAAAAAGGCGTATGTGAAATGGGAAAATAAGGATTGCAGTCAAAAAGTGAAGGAAGATCCACAAACACTAAAACCCACATATCAAGAACTAGAAAAGGTATGAAACAGCTTTGAAAACTGCACAGAATAACTAACACTATGTTGATATGAGTTTGAAGTATACAAATGAGTATTTTTAAAAACAGAAAGAAATTTTCAGGCACACCGTCCCTTTATGACAGTAACAATAAGTGAAATAAGTGCAAAAATCCTGAGGCTAGATTCCTTGAATTTTAAATGGCCGTTTGAATTAAAAAGGATAATATTTGCAAAAATAATACAGGTAATTCTCAAGCTACATCAGGGCATTTAACAAACATTTGAAGTTACCAAAGACCTCCCCCCTTCCAAAGCTACATATGACCCCATTTCAAAGTTATAACAGATGCAGTGGCCCAGTGGTCATTTGCTTTTATGACCACCACAAAGTTGCTGCACCATCCCTCCACTTCTCTTCCCACATCCCACTCCACCAGAATCTAGCAGCTCTTAGGCCCCCACATGCTCATCTCACACCACACCTTTTGAAGCTCTCCATACCTCATATTGTGGAAGGAGGGCAGACCGTGCGTCCCTGGGATATGTGGCAATGATCCAAATGTGGCTACCATTTTGTCTTTTGTGCTTGTGGGCAGGGACAAAACGACGACTGCCAGACAAACTGCTTCATTTTGCTTCCTTAGGTCTGCACTGTGCTTCAGAAGTTCTGGCCATCACTTGTGGCAGCAACCTGATCATGGCTGCCATTTTTTCTCCCAACCTCAAATACTAGACAAATTGTTTTGTCTGTGTAGGGTGGGGGGGTGGGTCCAGTGTGGCAGGAAAGCAGGTCCAAGGCCCAAGGGGTGGGAAGTGGAGTAGTGGGTGCTTCAGGAGCTAGAGGAGGCCTGGGGCAGGCTACATGTGAGCTGGGGAAATAGGCCTGCTCCAGGTCACCAAGGCTTTCCCCACTTCTGAGGCACCCTATGCTCCGTTTAATAACCCATGCATCTTTGGAGAGCCATTAACAATCATTCCTTCTTTCCTGCAGAATGGAAAACTCAGGGGTAGGCAGAAGATCCATCAGTTAAAATAAGGATGTTTTCTTCCAGTTAGAAGATGCTGTTTGCAAATGAAAGCGTGTGTTTACCAAGCTCTCTTTTCTCAGAGTCAATTGTGGTAATTGCTCTCCTCTTGGGCAAACAACTGCATATCTTTCATTTCATTTACTGCTCAAGTCACATAGTTCTTAAACTAACATGCCATTCAGGCAAGTGTTCCTGCTAACAAAACTAAACATTCAGAAACTATTTGGTTCTGATGGTATATTTTTGTTTAGGAAAGAAATGTTCTGACTGCAGAGAATGAAGCTCTCATGCTGCGCCTCAAACAAGCTCATAAGAAGATTGAATTCCTCAGCATTCAACGAAATCACATACTGGACACTAGGGAACATGGAGATTGCTTGTAGCTTAAAAGAAAGACATAGTGAGGAAAAGGATAAAGCCAGTGGGTTTTTTTTTAATGTATTTAAGTGTATGTAATTAAATGTGTGCAGCATGGCAGGAATTTAAAGTAAGATCGTCTTATTTTCATTGCTATTAGTACTTTTGGATGTATATATTTTGTGCTATCGATTTAACCACTTTGCCTTCTGTTTAGCTGAAACTACATCATTTGGAGTGCCTGTTATTTTTAGAGCAAGGAACACACCTGTTGCCAAAGTAACCAAACTGCATTATCAGATAGGAATGTGTATCTTGGGCTAATTTTTGCTAATTTTGGCAATGCAAACTTGAAAACGGGCATGATTTTTTCATTTGAAACTTCACAAATGTTGCTGCTTTAATGGGCATATGAGTCAAACAGCCATTTCCATATTCTTTTCAAATTGGTTGGTTTCTTTTTCCAAGGATACTCATTTCAGATAGGCAGTTCCAAAAGCTTCCTCTTTGCAGAGGTGTGCAGAAATGGGCAAAAATATAAAGATGCCAGCCACAAAAGTACAATCAAAACTCCATCTGTTATTTTGTGTACATCACATACACACACACCCAACCAGTGGCATGGTGGTTCAATGACTTAAAAATGCTGGAGGAGGTTTGTATTCCAGCAGTTCAAGTCTTACCACTGTGTGACAGAGTATGCTCCTCACTTGCCTCAGCTCCTATCATCCTAGCAGTTCAAAACCATGTAAATACAAGTAGATAAATAAGTACCACTTCATGGGAAAGTAACAATGTTCCGTATTTTATCATACGTTTTGCACTGCAGTGTGATGACTGGCCATATGACTGCAGAAATGTCTTTTGACAGTGCTGCCTCAATGGCTTAAAGAAAGAGATGAGCAACACACCCTAAAGGTGGCTGCAAGTAGCAGAGTAAAACCCACAGGGACTTTTCTTTACACACACACACACACACACACACATACACACACACACACACACAAACCAGACGCTCTTGGCACCACACCCTGCAGTTATCCCTATGCGAAAAGATTTTCAACCTGGACTTTGGCACTGACGCTCTAAAACAAAGTCAAAATGAGGGAATTCACTGACTGTGGATTTGCATGATCCAGCTTTAAATTTTTTTTAAAAAAAATATTCCCAGAAAAAGGCTCCTGTTACTAATGGTTTTGATTTGGTTTCTATTGTAGTCAATAGGCAAGATCTTTAATTTGCTTGTAAATCTTTAATCAGTTCAGGCTTTCATAGAATATAGAGAAGGAATAATCCAGATTAGCAGTTATTAATTATAACTGTGCCACATGGACCATTTCCTGCTGATAGTAAAGTCAGTGCTGGTCAATTTTAGTCTAATAATATTTTGCCACAAGCACAACAAAGCTACAATAGTATTGCTTTTGTTCCACTAGCTGGAAGGTACAGGTAGTTCTTGACTGTTCAAAGATACAATGCATCTCTGCCAGAAATACTCAGTTCCAAAATTCTGATGACTACCCCTCCCTAGGAATTTACAGAAGTTTGCAGCATCCTGCGATCACCTGACCATGTTTTAGAATGGTTTTGCTGAAAACTGGTGTTTCATGTTTTCAGCAAAAAAAGTCCATAGCAAATCACTGCCTGTGCTTAAAAGCCTCAGCATTTGCTTAGTGACCATGATGGTTACTTTATCATTATAGTAGTTGCTAAACAGCTGCCACAAAAAAGCTCATAAAATTAGGTCAGTCATGTGGGTGACCCGTTTTATGACCATCATTAGTTATGGCCATGATGGGCAGGCTCCATTACAATCATAAGTCAAGGAGTAACCATACATTGCATTGTATTGATACAGTTATGATGCAAAATGAGAAGAAACAATGTGTGAATTCAGTGTGTACCAATGTGATAGAAATAAGATGGTTTTCAAGAACAGAATAGAATGGAGAGTTATAGCAAATCATGGCTGTGCAAACTAGATTCAACTGGATTTCTTTTCTCTTTTTGCTCACACTTTTAACTCATTTTCTGTGCTTTGCATAACATTTAGTTTGCCTTGAAAAGAAATAGCAAAATGAAATAGTATGTTGGGTATGTATGTATTTGTGCTTATACATATAATATTCATCACATTCTCTCATAGTGAAAGGTGTTATACTTCTTTTTAGACTATTGTGAAAGAAAATATTCTGTCACTTGCCAAATCCATGTGCAGGATTCCCCAGCCCTTCTGCACTTTTGCCAACCCAACCACTTACAAACATCTGTGTACCTTCCCCGATCTGCGCAGCACCGTTTGTGTATATCTCTATGACCGAAAGTCAAGAACTACTTGATAAGCACAAGAGATGCTAAAAGCCACTTTTATGTTTCATGTCTAAATCTCTTTTTTTAATAGTAATTTTATTCAAAATTGCAATTACAGTTGCAACAATAAAAAGTAGTTATTAAGGAAAGAAGAAAAAAAGAAAAAAATAATAAAAAAGAAACTATATAAAGATATGAGTCCCCACTTCACCACAAGTATAAATCTTGATCCCATATCCTATTATCTAGAAACAAATAAATAAAACTGCATCATTTCAGTCCAGTGTTAGCAAAAGTCCATTAAGGATTACCAGAGATAACGTATCTATTTTAACCTTGATCAAATAAACCAACTTTATATTCCTTCATTTTACTTCTAATGTTGATCTTTAGTCCCTTCAAATAATGTCCTAGAACAGGGTTGTCAAACTGCCAGCCCGTGGGACGGTTTTATCATACTGAAGCTACGCCCACCCCATTGCCGGCAATGCAAGAGTCATGATACGTCACGACACGTCACATGACATGGTGAGTTTGACACCCATGTCCTAGAGCTTGCTTTCTTTTCACTTTTTGTCTCCTCTCACAAAATTCTTCAAAGCTTTAACAAGCTACTTTTGTAAATTCAAAATGGGAAAATTATCCAGCTCATTCTTGATTTGTTATTTGTATATCCCTTTTAATTGTTAACAAATTAGCTGGGGTTTTTTGTATGTTCAACATAATGTCATTTTTCATGTCATTCTTTACAATTTTTGAAGGCGATTACAAAAGGAAGTATGCAAATCCAGTGTCCCTTTAAAAGCACTGACTACGATTTGAGCAAGGTGGCTATTACCTCATCTGTCAGAGCTCTAAAGCCACTGGTGACTGCTGTCTTGTAGTCTCCCCCCCCCAAAAAAAAGCAAATGTCTGGAATACTTGTGGGTGATCTCAAGCGTTCTCCTTGTCTGAAGAGGAATTACAAAGAGCTTGTTTAAATTGCTGGCTTTTTTCTACTACGGTCATTGGCTCTGCTTTTCACGGAACTGTCTTCAGTTCTTGATTTCTTCCCTGGAAATGTCTAAATTCGCATTCCATGATTCTAGAACTGACAAATTAATAGTACACTATAAAATATTGTGCAACACACTGTTGATTTTCATGTAGCTTTTGTTATATTTATTTACAACCTTATTTTAAGGCTCTGATCCCAAATGTAATTTATTTTTTATAACGATGTATTTCCCTAGCTATAATGATATTTGTACTTTTGTGCGTAATATATACTCTTTTTTTGAATAATGTCATGGTACTAATATTTGTACATTTCCTTGTAAGGCTCAGCTTAATATGTTAGATTCTTTAAATAAGCAGCTTTTGTAATACACAGTATTTTTCAGAAAATGTCTCCAGTTGATGTTAGGTTTAAGTCTGATTATTTAATGTAAATTATTGTATAATATCAAAAATGATCAATGCATGTTTTTTTTAAAAGGTTGAATTGAAAACTAGAAGTTATACACTAAATGTGAACTGAAAAAATGAAAATTCACTTGGTTGCACTGGATAGTTGTCTGTATTCTTTTCCAATATTTACTTACCTTTAGCAGTCATGTATAAGCCAGCACAGGAAACCTCTTTAAGGGGATGTTGACAGGTGTGACGTGTCAACATCTGTTCACACTGAATCACCTTTTCCTCCTCCCAGCCTATGTGTCTGCATGCATGTGCGCACATGCACATATATATTATGTTTCATACAGATAGTCCTCAACTTATGAACATAATTTTGATCATAAATTATTATGGTTGTAAGTCATGGCATCCTGATTTTTTTTTTACCATTTTTATGTTGGTCTTTCAGTAAATCTCATGTTCGTTAAGTGAATCCATTCTCAAGTGAATGGGCAATTTTTGCCGGAAACCAGGAAAAAGCATTGATCAGTTATGTGACTATGGGACACTATAACTGATCATAAATGCAAGCCAATTGCCAAGCACCCAGAATGTGTGACCATGGGGCAACACATTTTACAATGGTTGAAAGTGCTTAACAGGCTGTAAAACACCCTTTCTAAGGCTGTTATAATTTCAAATGGTTGTTAAATGACTGGTCAAAAGTCAAGGACTATCTGTAGACAAGGCTTGCTGTGATTCTGTTATGTGCTGAGAAAGGAGTATAGTTTTATTTGTATCCTGCAAGGAAAATAGAAAGATGGACTGATAAGATTTATGTACTTTTATATTTCCCAGAATGAGTCTGCATTGCATCTGAATATGATAAAAGTATAATTTCCCATTATATTAAAATTATGATGGGTGTGAGATTATCTATGGTTGTATTGGTTAAAGAAATCCTGTTAAGTGATGGCTTGTAGAACTATATCTGGCCACTTTAGTTTGGACATATTGTATCAAGATTTTCCTACCTCAACAGAGCATGTTGTTTAAAGGAGGTGCCCCCATGTGGTGATAGCTAGTATTTGTATCAACCAGTTAAAGAAAATTAAGCATCAGAAAGGTCTACTGACTACTAGCTATAAACACGCAAACACATTCAGAATTAAAACTGGAAATCTGGTGAATTCCAGCAGAAAGTTAGCTTATCCAGTGCAATGGCTGTCATGTCTCTCCTCCATGTCAAACATTATACAATTGCTAATATGAAGATATATCTGCCCTTTGTAAAACCTCTACTAGATTGCTATGGATATTTTTCTTTTCTCTGTAGCCAATAGCTAACAAAATAAATGATTACTTCTACAAATTTTGCTCAATCAGTCAAAGAATAACAATGATCTGTTGATTTTCAATGACAGCCAAAGGTAGGTATATTCACTTTTCAAAAGGTGAGCAAAACATTCCAAACTGCAATCGTTTTCAGTGTGGTCAAATCTTAATGAAAATCTCCTAAAAATACCCATTTCAAAATTCTATGGCAAACCACTCCAGCAGGTAGTGACAGATTTTATTTTTCTGGGCTCAAAGATCACCTCAGATGGGGACTGCAGCCAAGAAATTAAAAGACGCTTGCTCCTGGGGAGGAAAGCTATGGCAAATCTAGACAGCATACTAAAAAGCAGAGACATCACCCTGCCAACAAAAGTGCGTATAGTCCAGGCCATGGTTTTCCCAGTTGCAATGTATGGCTGTGAAAGTTGGACCATAAGAAAGGCTGAGCGCAAAAGAATTGAGGCCTTTGAACTATGGTGCTGGAGAAGACTCCTGCGAGTCCCTTGGACTGCAAGGCGTTCAAACCGGTCAGTCCTAGAAGAGATCAACCCCGACTGCTCTTTAGAAGGCCAGATCCTGAAGTTGAAACTCAAGTACTTTGGCCACCTAATGAGAAGGAAGGATTCACTGGAGAAGAGCCTAATGCTGGGAAAGATTGAGGGCAATAGAAGAAGGGGACTACAGAGAATGAGATGGCTGGTTGGAGTCACTGAAGCAGTAGGTGTGAATTTAAATGGACTCCAGAAGATGGTAGAGGACAGGAAGACCTGGAGGAACGTTGTCCATGGGGTTGCGATGGGTCGGACACGACTTCGCAGTTAACAACATTTTAAGAAAACCTGTAATTTTTCAAATGCATTTCATCATAGATATCTACATATATCCAGATATACAGTAACCACTTAATACCACCTTAATACCGACAGGATGGGCACGTTTTCCAAAATTAAATGTGTTTTTAGATATATGTAGCAAAAGGATTTGAGAATTTTTAACAAAAGAATGAAAGATTCTTTTGAAGGAATAAGCTATTATATCTACTCTGCAAGACAGCTACAGCAACTTTACTATATTTTATTTCTCAGTGTTCACAATTGTAAATGATCTATTACTTAAACCATTCTCCAGGTAGCTATTAAAAGATATTTTTTTCTCAATAGATGTTCCATGTATATGAACAGAAACACAACACTGGATAACTGTTAATACAAACTATTTATATAAGAACATTAAGTTCTATAAAATACACTCTTCAGATTTAAACATATAAAAGGTATTGAATGTTTATTGCATTTTTAGAGGTTGTCAAAACTATAGGCATACAATTACCAGAAGTTATTATTCGTTCTTAACTTAGTTTGAAGTGTTTTCTGATTTGCGAAGGGCAGGAAATTTTAAACAATTACAGGACTAATTAAAAATAATCATTCTCTTCACTTTTGGCTCAGGAGAACAGTATGTCTTGCTTTTAATTTTTGATCAGTTAAAATTCTCTATACTATATAACTTCTGGAATAATACCTTAGTGTACATCAGTATTTCTCAACCTTGACGACTTTAAGATGCGTAGGCATCAACTTGCAGAATTCCAGTCAGCGTGGGAGTTGAGATCCAACTTCTTAAAGTTGCCAAAGTTGAAAAACATAGGTGCACATAATTGGAACGTGAGAACAATGAACTTAAAATCTAAAGAAAAACTAACAGGCAGAATTCTAAGAGTCATGGCAGTCAACTGAGATCAGGGAAAATGATATTGAACAGCTGCTCCATTGATCAGTTAAAAGATTCCTGTTTCTGCTGAGCTACATACTTCAACAGGCACATGTACCATAATCCTTGGCCAAACCAAGAACAACAGAAAACTCTTGTTCAAGAAAAGTCTGCTTTGGCCTTTTTTAAAAAAATGGTGGAGATGGGATAGAGAATACATTCTTTGAAACTATTTAAATATTCTGTGTGTCATCAAGCATCCCATCAATAGCATTATCACCTAAACATTCCCATCAGAACACCAATACTGATCTGAGTGCATCTCCCAGCAGACTATATTGATTTAAGTGCCTTATGTACCTTCACTAAACTAAATCCAACGCTGCTTCTTTCTTTGCTTGGTATTTTGCCAACAGAAAGGATGGATGAGGCAAATGCAAAAATTTCAATTTCAGGGTCATATGTTTATCAACAGCCTTGTTAAATAAATAAAAATCCAGATCAACAATAATATAAAACAAATAAACTAAAAAAACCTGAACCAAAATAATTAGGGACACTTCACACACTTTTAAGAGAGATACGGGTTCTGCACAGAAAATACCGCATAGCCTGCAAGTTTAGCATCAAATTTGTACATCAAACTTGTACATAGCCATTTTTTGTGTATTTGCAACCCGAGGGTTTTTCATCAGCCATTGCTTCCATTCGTGTATATATTGCTGGTAACGACAAGTGCATGAGTACATATGCTTGGATAAACAGAAGTCAGCAGTGAAAATTAATTTTGTATAAGGTGGTTTTGAATGAATGGAACAACCATAATTCATCAAGAAGGATGATCAATGTCGTTTAAGCATCACATTTGCCCATCAGCGATAATGTATTCTGAGACATTGCTCTCAAGGTATGCATGTCGGTCAACGTTAAGATGTTAGTATTTCCTATAGCCCCCTCTTCTACCGTATGACTCCCCATATCCTCCTCTCCTACTATAGTCACCCCTCCCTTGATATCCACCCCCTCCCCTCCAACTTCCCCCACCCCCTCTACCACTCCCACCCCATCCACTCCCTCCTCCCCACCCACCCTCCCCACCCCATCCACCACCTCCTCTATTTCCTCCACCTCTTCCTCTTCCACCATCTCCTCCCCAACCTCCCCTGCCCCCTCTCCCACCACCATCCTGTCTCTTCTGCCATGGGGGCATTTCAGGAGGCGGTGGATCAATTTCTGTTGGTCTGCCACCACGATCTGGTACTCTTCCCATCAAGACCTGTTCAAAAAACATATAAAGCCCAGTAAGACCACGTTTCCTTCTTCACTTCGGAATATCAAATTATCGAGAGAAAGCATGTTCATTTATGTATGTATATATGTCTGTGGTTAAAACCACTAGGTTTTCATACATTACTGTATTATTCCAAAAGAATATAAATAATCTAGGATTGACTGGTCAGTTATGAAGAATTTCATACCAGCAAAAACAGTTAACACCTTTAAATACCAAATGGCATTGAGTATAAAATACAAGGCTACTCTGCATTAAATGAGCTAGAGCAGTGTTTCTCAACCTTGACAATTTTAAGGCATGTGGACTTCAACTGCCAGAATTCCACAGCCAGCATTGCTGGCTGTGGAATTCTGGGAGTTGAAGTCCACATGCCTTAAAATTGCCAAGGTTGAGAAACACTGAGCTAGAGATTCCTGAGATTTTGTAAGTTACCAGAAACATTAAAATTTCTGAGAACTAGCACAAATTCTTAAAGGTTCAGTAGTACAAGAAATCTATGGCTGCCACATTAATAAAAAACATACCTTATTGATTGCACAAATAGTCTTTTCTCGTGTAGATCCACTGCTTGTTCTTGTGATCTTTGACAAATCTTCACGAGCAGCTAGAAGATGAGCTATTGAAATCGTTGATTTAGAAGTAAGTCCGTAACGTTTGGGTTGATAAATCCTTGCAATATCATCCGTTTTTACCTAGGAAAATGGATAGACATTTATAATAGCTACAAAAACTATCACAAAGTAGAGTGACATTGTTGTTGTTCTTAATTGCGAAGTCGTGTCCGACCCATCGCGACCCCATGGACAACGTTCCTCCAGGTCTTCCTGTCCTCTACCATCTTCTGGAGTCCATTTAAATTCACACCTACTGCTTCAGTGACTCCAACCAGCCATCTCATTCTCTGTCGTCCCCTTCTTCTATTGCCCTCAATCTTTCCCAGCATTAGGCCCTTCTCCAGTGAGTCCTTCCTTCTCATTAGGTGGCCAAAGTATTTGAGTTTCAACTTCAGGATCTGGCCTTCTAAAGAGCAGTCGGGGTTGATCTCTTCTAGGACTGACCGGTTTGAACGCCTTGCAGTCCAAGGGACTCGCAGGAGTCTTCTCCAGCACCATAGTTCAAAGGCCTCAATTCTTTTGCGCTCAGCCTTTCTTATGGTCCAACTTTCACAGCCATACATTGCAACTGGGAAAACCATGGCCTGGACTATACGCACTTTTGTTGGCAGGGTGATGTCTCTGCTTTTTAGTATGCTGTCTAGATTTGCCATAGCTTTCCTCCCCAGGAGCAAGCGTCTTTTAATTTCTTGGCTGCAGTCCCCATCTGAGGTGATCTTGGAGCCCAGAAAAATAAAATCTGTCACTACCTCCATTTCTTCCCCATCTATTTGCCAGGAATTGAGAGGGCCGGATGCCATGATTTTGGTTTTCTTAATGTTGAGTTTCAAGCCAACTTTTGCACTCTCCTTCTTCACCCGCATCAAGAGGCTCTTTAGTTCCTCTTCACTTTCTGCCATTAGAGTGGTATCATCTGCATATCTTAGGTTGTTGATATTTCTCCCGGCAATCTTAATTCCAACTTTTGATTCATCTAGCCCTGCCTTTCTCATGATGTGCTCTGCATATAAGTTAAATAGGCAGGGCGACAGTATACAGCCTTGCCGGACTCCTTTTCCAATTTTGAACCAATCAGTGGTTCCGTGTTCGGTTCTCACTGTTGCTTCTTGACCCGCATATAGGTTTCTCAAGAGACAAATGAGATGGTCTGGTACTCCCATCTCTTTAAGAACTTGCCACAATTTGTTGTGATCCACACAATCAAAGGCTTTTGCATAGTCAATGAAGCAGAAGTAGATGTTTTTCTGGAACTCCCTAGCTTTCTCCATGATCCAGCGTATGTTGGCAATTTGATCTCTAGTTCCTCTGCCTCTTCGAAATCCTGCCTGTACTTCTGGTAGTTCTCGATCCACATACTGCTGGAGTCTAGCTTGTAGGATTTTAAGCATAACTTTACTAGCATGTGAAATGAGTGCAATGGTGCGATAGTTTGAACATTCTTTGGCATTGCCTTTCTTTGGAATTGGAATGTAAACTGACCTTTTCCAATCCTGTGGCCACTGTTGAGTTTTCCAAATTTGCTGGCAAATTGAGTGTAGCACTTTTACTGCATCGTCTTTTAAGATTTTGAATAGCTCAGCTGGAATACTGTCACCTCCACTAGCTTTGTTGTTGCTCAGATTTTCTAAGGCCCATTTCACTTCACATTCTAGGATGTCTGGTTCGAGGTCAATGACCATCTCATTGTGGTTATCTGGGATGTTAAGCTCATTCTTGTATAGTTCTTCTGTGTAGTTTTGCCATCTCTTCTTAATCTCTTCTGCCTCTGTTAGGTCTCTGCCATTTTGGTCCTTTATCATGCCCATCTTTGCATGAAACGTTCCCTTCATATCTCCAATTTTCTTGAAGAGATCTCTGGTCCTCCCTATTCTGTTGTTTTCTTCTATTTCTTTGCACTGTTCATTTAAGAAGGCATTCTTATCTCTTCTAGCTACTCTCTGGAATTCTGCATTCAATTGGGTGTATCTTTCTCTTTCTCCTTTGCCTTTCGCTTCCCTTCTTTCCTCAGCTATTTGCAAAGCTTCCTCAGACAGCCATTTTGCTTTCTTGCATTTCTTTTTCTTTGGGATGGTTTTAGTTGCTACCTCTTGTACAATGTTGCGAACTTCCATCCATAGTTCTTCAGGCACTCTGTCTATCAGATCTAATTCCTTAAATCTATTTGTCACCTCTACTGTATATTCATCAGGAATATGATTTAGTTCATACCTGAGTGGCCTAGTGCTTTTCCCTACTTTTTTCAATTTAAGCCTAAATTTTGCAACGAGAAGCTCATGATCTGAGCCACAGTCAGCTCCTGGTCTTGTTTTTACTGACTGTATAGAGCTTCTCCATCTTTGGCTGCAGAGCACATAGTCAATCTAATTTCTATGTTGACCGTCTGGTGATGTCATGTGTAGAGCCGTTCTTGGGTTGTTGGAAAAGAGTGTTTGTTATGACCATCGTATTCTCTTGACAAAATTCTATTAGCCTGTGCCCTGCTTCATTTTGTACTCCAAGGCCAAACTTGCCTGTTATTCCGGTTATCTTTTGGCTTCCTACCTTAGCATTCCAATCCCCCATGATGATAAGGACATCATTTTTTGGTGTTAATTCTATAAGGTGCTGTAGGGCTTCATAGAACCGGTCAATTTCATCCTCTTCAGCACCAGTGGTTGGGGCATAGATTTGGACTACTGTGATATTGAATGGTTTGCCTTGGATTCGAATTGAGATCATTCTGTCATTTTGGGGATTGTATCCCAGTATTGCTTTTCCTATTCTTTTATTGACTATGAAGGCTACTCCATTTCTTCTGAGGGATTCTTGCCCACAGTAGTATACCTGATGGTCATCTGAGTTAAATTCACCCATTCCTGTCCATTTTAGTTCGCTGATTCCTAAGATGTCGATGTTCAGTCTTGTCATCTCTTTTTTGACTACGTCTAGCTTGCCTTGATTCATGGATCTTACATTCCAGGTTCCTATGGAGAAAAAATCTTTACAGCATCGGACTTTCCTTTCACCACCAGATATATCCACAGCTGAGCGTCCTTTCGGCTTTGGCCCAGTCGCTTCATTCTTTCTGGCGCTACTAGTACTAGCCCTCTGCTCTTCCCCAGTAGCATATTGGACACCTTCCGACCTGAGGGGCTCATCTTCCAGCGTCATATCTTTTTTCCTTTTAGTACTGTCCATGGGGTTTTCATGGCAAAGATACTGGAGTGGTTTGCCATTTCCTTCTCCAGTGGATCACATTTTGTCAGAACTCACTGCTATAACCTGTCCGTCTTGGGTGGCCCTGCACGGCATAGCTTATAGCTTCATTGAGTTAAGCAAGCCCCTTCGCCACAACAAGGCAGTAATCCATAAAGGGGAGAGTAACATTAGGAAGTTTAATTTTACTGCACCATGTAGTTATTAATATCATGTATATTATTAGCTTCCATTTTACAGTTTAGTTTCAAGTAAGTTCCTATTGACAAAGAAAAAGCTGCTAAAAGGCTTAGGAATAACACTTGTTTAAAGAATGTCATAATGCAGTTAAACTGAATTAGATAAAGTAGATTATACAATCTGAAAAAAACAAAGCAAAATAATCTTACAGTATAAATACATATTGTAAGGTTACATTGTTTTTTTCCCCCTGAAAATTTTTAATGTATACTTTGAAGACATTCTCAGGCCAAGGAAGGTTATGCTTATTTCAGGGGCAGATCCATGGAATTTCATTAGCTATAACACAGAAGTGGTTTGCCATTTCTTCTTTTTCAAGAGTGATTTTCAACTACTGAGTCAAGCTTGTAGCCCTGTTGTTCCCTCATGGTTTCCCACCTAAGGCCCTTTTTAATTTCTATGCATTGACTAATTTGTCCAAGTGCTTCAGCTGCTGAAATGTAAATGAGTAAAGGAGAAACAAATAGTTGGAATTCTCTTTCTTCTATACAACAGAAAATTTGTTTTTAAATCTTCCATCCCAGGATTCTACTCAATCAACAAGAACTAAGGAATAGAACATACTCACCTTAGCTCTATCAGACCACCCAAAGGACTGTACAGTTACATCCAAACGCTTCATTAACATCCGCCTGCGGCATTCATATTCAGTCAGAAGAGCCTCATTGATTTTTTCCAACTGCTTCTACAGCAAATAGAAATCACTTAAAGTAATCCTTTTGTAGAAATGACATGTTTAAATCCAACAATCCCATCACGGTTTAAACACCAGATGGGGACAGTTCATCATTGGCTGCTAAGAGTCGACACTGTGTCGATGGCACAATCAATCAAATCCAATATCAATAAATATAAATGCATATATTCAAATAAATGCAGACAAACTGAACCTAGCATATAATATATCCAATAATTAATTTGTATGCCCACTGCATATACAAGTTTGAAGAGAAAAAAAAAGGATGTTACCATTTGGTTTGTATTCAAAGGAGTTTTTAGCAGAGGTTTCTCCATGTATGCTTTTGGAACTTTTGACAAAACATCCTTAAGCTGAAAAAAAGTAGAAAAGACATTCTTAACCTTTATGCCTTCCAAAAAATAATATCCTATATATCTAAGCAATTATATTAAAGCAGGAAATGCCCATCAGCAGAAATTGGATATAATGATTTCAAGTGATCTTACTGCGGCCAATACACTGTTTTCTACATGGAGACATGAAGCCTTTTATCTGTTTCTCTCCGCCTTTCCCAAAGATGGAGAAATACATCATTTACCAGAAAAGGGTAAATACAATCTTTCACCATTTTTCAATTATGGAGAAACTTTATGGAGTAATATGTGACTGGCTCACCCAAAGAGTTGCACGTTAAATGCCACCTCCCTTATGTATCTTCTTTGGGTTCCTCTACCAAATGAAGTGAGATAAATTGCTATAAGGCCTTTTTAGTGTGGGACCCTTGTTGTGGAATGCCCTTCCAAAAGTTACATGCCTGACCCTCACATTGGTGCCAGACCACAACATTCCTCCTTTCCCAGTTTTATTGATTTGTAGTCAATGACTTTAATTCCAATACAAGGGAATATATTGTTGCTGTCCCGTGATGGGAAGCATAGAAATTAAAAGAACAAATATGTGTTGAATTGTAGAGTTCTTGGTTCTCTAAGCTTGGCTGTTTCCATAGAGACATTTCACTGTGTAACATCATTGGTGAGTATGAATGTGGAGTTTGCTATCTGTTTATATACAGTCACTTGTCCTGCCATTTTGGTGGGAGTGTGGTTTCCTCCTTGGGGGTTTCTTGGTTATTGTTTTGTATTTCTTTCCCACAATAGATTGAAACTAATATAAAGCATTCAGATGTACAAAATATACTATACCTTTGACTCTATATTGTTTAATGAGACAGGGAGAGAATACAAGTCAGAAGATGCTGACGATTTTGGTACCCCTAAAACATCACAGATCATCTGGATTTCCTGATGAACTTCATCATTCTTTGCCAAATGAGAACCTTTACATTGTTTAATCTGTAGTATCTGCAAAGCCTGAAGTTCTGTACTTAAAAATACTATAAAATAAGAAAGAAAAGAAATATGTTAAAACCTGGTGTTTGTGTTTCATCAAAAAAAATTAATGATCTGCCAAGCTGGTTGGGATATCAATATAAAACTAAATAAAATAAAAAATAAGGCATGAAGCAAATAAAAACTGGACTAAAAATAAATTTTATAATAGAGCAACCATTATTTCCTTTAGAGAAAAAATATTAATGGATTAATACCAATACATTCATCCAACGTCACTTGGTTATCATGAATCAGACTGTTCTTGGCAACTTAGCGGAATTTAGCAATAGGAATGAACATACTACTGATCAAATTCTAATAACATAGTAGGCAGACATCCTCCATGCATTCCTCAGTTGTTTCAGCCGATCCTGTCCAGTCTGGCAGGATATTCCAAATCTCATTATCTAAGGAAGGGTAGCTGGCAGGACTCAGAAGTCAAACCTTTTCTGAAGTGGTGCCTACACCCCCTTCCCCAAGATCAGATTCGTCCACTCCCTGCTGGCCTTTCAAAAAAACTTGGTACTTGGCTCGGATCTAGAGCTATAAATGTATAAAGCAGCTATGTCCTAAGTATATTAATCATTACTGTTTTCTCAACTGCTGAGTATTGAAACGTTTTTATTTTTAAAATTATTCTTTACTTTTTTAATAATGTGAGCTGTTCAGAGTCATTTGTGAGACTGGCAGCTATATAAGTTGATTAAATAAGTATATAAAAATCTTATCTCCTGCTTAATGGCCCTTTATTCTGTATGCTTGGTATCAAACCTTCTATGACGCAACTTTCAGAAAAAATACATTTCTTTCTTTTCTGGAAAAATTCAGGAAACAAAGCAAGCAGATATATTGCAGCAAGGAACACTCTATTAACTTACACAAGACTTTAAGACAATCTTCTTTCTTTTTTAACCGGTCTTTAATTTCTCCAGACACAAGTGTGGAATATGGACAAGCCAATTCTTTTAAAAAGCCACTCATTTCTAGTTGTAAACTTTCAACATCTTCACCACCTAAAAAAAAAAAAACCAAGTTAAGAGAGTATTATATATCTTCAACTCCATTACCATTTTAGGCACAATTATAAAAAAAATCCAGTCAGTAGTCTTCTAAGGGCTTTGAGTAAGCATCATTCTGCAACTATGTCCTTTGGACAGTAATGAATTATTTGCTTTATTTGCGATGGAATGTATTAAGGTGCAACTTGTGTATGTGTGTGTTTATGTATATCCTATTAGTATGCATTAAACCTTCATCCTCTGGAAAAGTCAATCCACAAAAAATATGTAAATAATATCAATCATGCAATCATGTTTATACTGGCTTGTGCTACAGACAAATAAATAAAACTGATACAATTTAAACTTAATTTAGTTGGGCCTTTTTGTCTTTCATTAGAACAAAGAGAAAATGCTATCATTTAAATTCATGGACCAGTTTTAAGAATACTGTGAACAGAACAAGTCACAAATTATAAACCATGGAAAGAGCTAAAAAGTTAGAAGCACACAAGGCCATTTCTAGAGAATATCAATAATAATCAACATGTAAACTGTTATATTCCAGTGGCAGGCATCACCTCTTTTGGAACTGATAAACATTTGGGAGAATTTACTCAACCATACTGCTGCTTAGTTTTAGCCTTTAGAACAACAAGGAAATAATCAATTGGCAATCCTTTCCTCTGTGTACTTGAATGTTAAAAACTGAACTATCAAAAAATGTCTACAGACAGCAGCAGCAAAGGCCATCATTTCTCTACTTGGTATCTCATTGGATTCACATTGCCTATTAAACCATATTGATATTTCTTTGAGCTAAATATAATGCAAGACTGCAGTCATATCAAATTAGTGGAATAAAATAAACCATGATTTGTTTTTAATTTACTAAATCAGTTGGAAACTGGTTTGCAGTTGACATTTATTGCAACTATAATTTAATAAGATATAAAAATAAGAATGAATTGTTGGGATTATGGGTTCCTGGCTTACTACTAATTTGCTTCTTTAACCAATTAAAGTTGCTAACTAATCTACAAATCAGTAGAAGGTAAATGCAGCAATAAAAAAAAGTACTCCTAGAATTGTACAAGAAAGCCATCATTATTTTGTTTGCAAGAAAAAGTGGGTTGCTCAACCATTCAGTGTCATGTTAAAGGTAAAGCTGAATGTAAAAAATCACAAAAACTTCCATTGCAATGTTACTTTAAAACATGGAAGTGAGACTAAATGACATTATAATGGTTTAATTTCAATGTATGACTCTTTATTTCCCATACAGTATGGAACTGTATTTCCAACAGTTTCAAATAAAAATCAGGTAAGAAATACCAGCTGTTGAGGAGATGCTTTCTTCCAGATTACACAATGGCTGTATTCTGGAACTTAGCCAAACACAAAGCTCACAGAAATCTTGGGAAGTCAGCCCACATTCTGTTGCTTTATTAAGAGCATCTTCATCCAGAAGAGGACCTTTATATCTAGAGAAAAATACAAAGTTCAAAACATATAAATCAAATACACACACACACACACACACACACACACACATATATATATATTCAAATTTTCATCTTGGTATCAATAGCAAGTTTATTTTTTCTTAATACAACTTCTCATAAGAGAATGATATAAATACAAGAAACTTGAAGATGTTGCATCCTCATGCTTGTGAAAAATAAAGTCTCTCTTGATCTTGACTTGAATCCTGAAGACCAATCAAGCAATCAGAACAGAGGTGGAAAGGACTTTGGAGGTCTTCTAGTCCAACCCCCTGCTCAAGCAGATACCATTTCAGACAAGTGGCTGTCCACACAGATCAACTGCTGGGATATTTTTTTTACAATGTAGAGGGCTGGGATTTCCCATCCAAGTACAATGAGATCCAACCCCACTTAACTTTTTCAAAATCAGCAAAGTTTAAAATATGGTTGTGGTATATTTATTCATTTTAATTTATCTGTACCTTCACCCAAATCTTGACCCCTGGTGACTAGCTGGATTAGTGTCTGCAGTTTTTTTTTTTTTTTTTGGCAAGATTCTTGGAACTGGTTTGCCATTGCCTTTTTCCTAGGGCTGACAGTGTGTGACTAGCCCAAGATCACCATTTGGCTTTATGTTTAAAACAGGACTGGACTCACAGTCTCCCCCTTTCTAGCATAATGCCTAACCACTACTCCAAACTGGATCTCTTATGATGTATTACGATGCACATTATTTGGAAGTTATTGAACTGAAAGCAACCTGCATTTTTCCACTATTCATCCTTAGGATCATACCGTCAACTGACTATCAATCAACATACAATTTTTAAAAATAATTTCCCACAAGACTCTAGTACACAGGTATTATTCTTTTAAAATGCCCGCTTCCCCTCTATACTCTAGCAATTTAAATCACGTAGCAAAATGCAAATACAGCTTTTGAACAGATAAATTGCCATGTTCAGAGGCAATGTAAACATTAACAATCAAGCCTGTAGCAGCCAACTACAGAAAAATTAAAACTCTGTGCATCAATGAAGAGGATGAATCGAATACAGAATATAAAAGAAGAACCTTCATAACTACAATGGATTTTGAAAAGATTTCTCCGCCAGTCTTTTGATTCGCAGAGGCGGAGAGAGATGCTTGCATCCACTTGGGCACGCGCACAACAAACGCCTCCAACAAAACTGCGGGAACCTCCTTCCCCCTCCCTCCCCGCGTGGTTTTTAAAATGAATCGCGAAGCAATTCGATTCTCCGGTGGGAGAACCGAGCGGGAAATCTGGAACGAGGCGAGGACTTTTCAACCAGCCCGCTCAAGCCTTCCTTTCTGCACCGTCAGGCAGCTCCTTTATCTAGCCGCCGGATCGAATGTGCCATCGGTGTACGGCCTCCATTCAAACGGGAACCCCACCACCCTTGCCCCGAGTTGGTGGCCCTCCTCCATCTCACCCTAAAGACTCGAGCGCATCCAAAATAACGCACTCCATGTTTGGGTCTCTACGCTGTCAGCGCCTCCATTCCCGCGACTGCAGCGATCTCAGTCCCGCCTCCCGGTACAAAGAGCCCGGTGTTGCATTCAAACGAGCTCGTCGACCTCCGTGGGCTAGGTTTTTTTGGTTCCGGTATTTTGTTTACCACTCCGCGGGTCATAGGGGGCTGCTGTCGGCGGTCTTCAAGTGTTGTTCTTTTGCCTTGGCGCCTTTACACTACTTCCCTCAGGTCTTACTTGAACACGCATGAAATTGCTTGACGCCGATCCTTTGCTCCCGCTTTTCTCAAAAGCCAGGAAAACTTCGCCCGGTTAATGCTCCACGGAAATCGGCCTCCCGCGAATTTCGCTAGAAGGAGCTTTCCCCAACGCCCAACAGGCGAGAATTGAGTGAAAGGGCAGGCCGCCTTACTCGCTTCACGCCCAAGGGCGGCCTTTTCTCTAGTCATGGCAACATCAAGGGAATCTTTAGAGTTCTCCCAGCCGGCCTTCTCTTCGGCGGGTTTCAACTCTCCGTCCGGGCGCCGGTAGGGCTTGAAAGTGACTCTGGCGAAGGTCGAGGGACGCGGTTGCGGCTCCGCATCTTTGTGTGTGTGCTCGCTCGGAAAGGCGACGTTGCATCTTCAGACTAGGCTGCGCTCGCTCACTTCCAATCTCGGCGCCCGGCGACTTCGTCTCGCTTCCGGGAGGCTGGAAAGAAGCGACGCGGAGGCGACCCCCTCGGCTCGCTGGGGTTTTCGGCCTTCGGATCTTCCACGCCGCAGGGCGCGGAAGGATGTTTCCCAACACGAACCAACCTACATGAGAATCTCAGCCAGGATGAGTTGATAAATCCTGGGTAAGGAAGGAAAGTCGTTAACGATAACACCGCCGTCGTATCTGAAGCCTTAGTGTAACTGAAGCCTTAGATAACAGAATTATTCCTGCCTAAGTATAAAACCTTGTTTTTCTCCAAATTAAATTTAATGTTGGATAGAGCCCATTGTACAATTCTGCAAGATTTTTTTGGGATCTGAGCTTGTCTTCTGGAGCGTTGGCTATTCCTGCCAGCTTAATGTGATTCCTGCCAGCTCACCCCAGCCAACTCACTTGGCTGTCTCTCCCCGGCCTATTTGCCCTGGTTGACTCGCCGTGGGACAATTTCACCATAGGACAATTCAATGCAGGCTAACTCAAGAGAGGGACAAGTGAATTGCAGTGGGCCTTGTCTTCCTTTAGGTTTGAACCTAAGTTAAAAAGTAAAAATATCCCCATGTCAATATAGTTTTCTGTTAACACAAACTTGCAGTTTCTTAGCAACTGTGCAGAAGTGATTTGCATTGCTTTCTTCTGGGATTTTTTTTTACTTTTCTGAATAGCTTACAGCCCTAGAGTTTCTGCTAATTCCCTCACTTAACAATCACTTGTTCAACAACTGTTCAAAGTTAAGACAGCACTGAACAAATGGTAATTACAACCTGTCCTTGAAGTTCTCCTGTGGTCACATATCTAGCCCAGATTTACAACTATTGCAGCATCCCCATGATTTCTGGCCTTCCCTGTTGGCTTTCCACAAGCAATGTTAATGAGGAACGTAGCAGGAAGTCAAAAATCATGATCACATGAAATTGTTGTTTAATGACTCTTGATGATTTGCTTAACAATGGCAACTGGAGACTGCCAGAATTGCCACCACTAAGCAATGTGGTCACATAATATGTCACTTTATGACTGCATTGTTCAGTGACAGAAATTCCAGTCCCAGTTGCTACCATTAACATTTGTATGTTAACTTGACTTGGCTTCTGACGTCCAGATAAGATTGCCTGAGACGATCAAAGAGAGCAACAATTCCTATGAATAATCACTTTTCCCCTCAGCTCTCATGATTGCAAGAATCGCAGCTGGCAAAAACAAAAAGTAATAATGCTCTCCATTTATCTATTTAGATATTTTTTTTCATATAAAACATCTCATTTTTACAGTAAAACACAGATTTATACACACATATTTTAAAAACGATGTTTCCCAAATTTGGGCAACATCTAGATGTCTGCATTTCAACCCACTGAATTGTCCAACCATCATGGCTATATTTAAAAGTTCGTGAAAACTAATTTAAGATTTGGCTGGACCGTTTTTATATTTTGAGTGAAAAACAGGCAACATATGACTTAGACTGAATGGTGTTATTCAAGTGTAGAGTAATATATGAACTAAACAACTCTTATCTAATATGGAGAAAGACCACTGTGAGGACATCTTACTCACTGAGAAACTAATTCTTCCTGCTTACTCTTCTCTTAGTATGCAATTATTAATGGAAGTAGCTAATGAGCATGCATTTACTCACCAACTAGGAACTGCCAAAAGGAAACTTATGGCACTAGCCAAATCTAATTCAGTGGGGCTTCTTTTCAGATGCAGTTCCTTATATGTGGATATAAAGTCCAGCAATGCACATTGAACATAATGCACTACCAGTGTAAATAATGCACTACCAGAGTTATTTTTTCAAAAGCACAGGGAAATAAATAGTAGGTAGCTCACAGAAAGAAAAATGACTGTAAAAAAATTCTACTGGGTTTCAAACTAGCAATAGTAGTAGCAGAATTGTCTTGCAAGGTGTCTTTATGCAGCATTTGTAGGATTCAAATCTGCATTTGATTCCATATCAAAAAAAGTATTGTGGAAGAATCTGCAATCTACCAACACAGAAAAACAATTGGTTTTATTAATACATAAACTCTACAGTAATGGCAACCTGAAGGTAAGTTGTGGTTCCCAAGGACTGTTAACTTAGTCAATCATTACAGTATAGGAAGTAAAGTGAGGATGTATTCTTGCTCTTTGACTGCTCACATTTACATAATTGAGTTACATAATACATCCATAAAAGTAACTTTCATCATCCAAAACTAACCAGTAGAGATGTTTCAGTTTTCTCGTATGCTGATAATATGGTTATTCTGTCACTGTATTAGGAATGTCAAGAGCTCTTAGATTTCTTACTCATTATTGAAAAAAAAAGATGATAAATTACCCCCCCCCCATTCTAACCTTTAACAAAACACTTAACGTTCATAAATGAACGTTAATGGCAATAACATGGAGGGTTTAACTACTTGAGAGTTATCTTTCATTCATCAGGACATAGAGTTCCATACCTGGCCCACACATCACAAGAGGCTCAGAGAAATGTTCTAGTTATCCTGAAACTATTTGATGCAAAAAGAATATCATAATTATGTAACTATATAAATATAACAAAAATTCCCTTCTCACTCTTAAGTGTAGTGTTTTCCTCAAACCTGGATCCTCTACTAGAGGCCTGGAGTTTGATGGTTTGGCCCAATAACTTTGCTGTTTCTAGCATTTCACTCTTGGACTGATGGTCTAATATGACTTCTAGCTACGTTCAAGTATTACAAAGTCCATCCTATGCAGCCCTAGGGACAGAGCTGTGATGGTGTTTCTGGAATCTGTTGGAGTGACTCTCCTAGGTTAGAAACTATAGTCCTGAATGCTCCTACCACTACTGGGACCGTTTTGGCTTTCCCTTTCTATGCCCTTTCTAGTTACTCCTTCAGGCCCTGGTATTTCTCCAGCTTCTCATACTCCTTCTTGACGTTGGTGTCACGTGGCACCACATCTATCATCTCTGCTTTCTTCTGGTCCTTGTCTTGTTCCACAGTGATTGGTTGATTGGCCAGGACCTGCCTCTCTGTCTGGATCTGGAATTCCCATAGAATCTTAAACCTTATTATTCTCCATGACGTTCTATGGAATTTCCCATTTGAACTTGGGAGGGTACATTGTGCAGATTCCCTGTACGCAATGCCAACTACTTGGTCAGGCTGTTCAGTATATGCTGTTCCAATCTGCTACTGTGTGTTGGACTGCTTCTGAGGTTTCTCCACGTGTCAGCATCTCAGATTGTGAGGAATTTCTTAGTCTTCATATTGACAGCTTCCATGTCCTCTTTTGGCCAGGTCACTATACTGGCAGAAGGAATTGGACAACTGGTCATGGCCAACTCACCATGGGTTAATTCAATGTGGGATAATTCATGAGAGAGTCAAGTAGAATTGCATCTCCCACCAGACTTGAGTAATATGAAGTTATACTGACATTGAGATGAAATATTATATGTGCAGCGAATCACCTTAAGACAAAACTAACCATAGTGTTTTTAATGAAGCTAACTGAGATGCCAGCATTTCCAGGAGAAAATATAATTGTAATTCAGAACTGTTGCTTTGAGAAATAACTCCATTTGTGAGAACGTCCTCCTCCACTCGGCAAAATAAATTTGACATCAACAAAAATAAGCTCTTGGCGGGCTCCCTGGCACCAGATTCAAGGTGGAGGACTCCTTAACCACTCATGACATTTCTTGAAGAAGGATCTGAAATTTTTCCTGGTCCCTAATATAGTTTAGCAATCAAAATATTCTTAATATTATCTTTTGTAACTACTCCCAAAGAAGGAAACAACCACTTTAAAGAAGTATATCATTATGTCCCAGCTTCTGATGATTTCCTAATCTTAAATATGCATATCTTCTACTCGTATGGGCTATGCATCTGGAGAAGTGAGGCTGTAGTTAGTGAAAGCTTATGCCTTTTAATAAAAGCTGTTACCAGAACTCCTAATTTTGGCTTATCAAAGAGTAACATGGCTGCCTGCCTACAATTCCTAGTCACACTTAAATCATAATGCAAAATTCCACTGACTCAACCAAACGTCTCTCTGACCTCTGACCAAGCTTGAATTGAGATTGAAATAGACTTAGGCAAACTGCTTGAGCCAGAATTCCTAGGGCAGTTTTTTTCATGAGTATCTTGGCTAAAGTGTGGACTAGTCAGGACTAGCTGGAAATTATCTAATGCAATTCGTTCCAGCATCATCTTTTTTAGAAATGGTGGCACTACACATTTTGTAGACGTGTCTTTATCCTAATCAGTATCTTGAAAAGCTTTTGTAAATTAGGAACAACCAACACTGAACAAATACATGACAGATATCACCCTACCAAATAGATCCACGTTCTGCTGCTGTACAGATTGTAAATCACGTGTAAACAAGCTGGCTGGACTTTACAAATAATGGTACTGAAACTGGGACAAGGGATTTCATCTCTGAAGAATGTTGAACAATAAATCTAAAGATGAATGGCCACATTCTGAGTCAAAATCTCTCATCTAGTGATCCCCAAATAGGAAACTTTCAGATATATTGACTTCAGCTCTCAATTTGCCAGCCAGCAGCCATTTCTAAGAATTCTAGGAATTGAAAACAACAGATATGGAAGTGGGGAAAATTGCTCTTGGCCATCTAAAAAAAAAAATCAGTTGTTCCAGTGGTAATGGAAAAGTATCATGTTTTTGCTTGTTTCAGTGCTGTTGTAACTTTGAATGGTCATTAAATAAACTGTTGTAAGTTGAGGACTACCTGTATTGACCATTCATGGAAACTCATTCAGGTCTACCCAGCATACTTTGCAACATAGCGGATATCTGTGGCAGATTTACAAGGCTCAGAGAAATAAATCTTGGGGAGGATCCCTGAGTAAGGGAATTTTAAAAAACCACTGATATAAATTTAAAACTATTTTGTTAAGAAAATATTTTTGTTTGAAGCAAGATATGTGAAACACCCTTTCCAGTGGGGCTTGACTTGGGACAGATGCTTTGTAATTTCCTGCAAAGTTGGTTTGCAGTCTATATGGGGGGAGAGGGGATTTGCTGTTATTGTTTTTGGAATTTCCATCTGTGATGTCAACAAATAGCTTCATAAGATCAGACTTGCTGTTTTAAGGAATTATCAACAC